AAGTCAATGCCTAACATCATTACATTGTACTACCATTAATAAAGTTTTGTATGACTATGCAAAAGTTGTGTATCATTTATTGACAACAGAAGGCAACAGTTATTTCATTCAATGTGATTTAATAGAAAACAGAGTTTGAAGTTAAGCATGGTCCTTGTCGTAACACTAATATCAGAAAGGGGAAATGAGGGGGCCTTGGATTTAAATGCAATGGCAGCCAACCTCAAGGGCACCAGGGCTGTGTTCAGTGTTTGAAAACATTTTAAAACCCCACAAGACAGTTGGGCAGGTGACCCATAAGTGTTGCCTGCCCATCTTCAAAGTTACCTGCCCGCATTCACACATTATAAATATTGAAAATTCGTGAAAAATTGTGTCTTGACTTGAAATAATGCTTACAATTACTTGAGAAATCTACAAGATGTTATAATAACTAGCTCTCTGACTGTTAAAGTATGTGCTATGTACTTTTGAAAATATTGAATAACTACCAGTCCACCTATCCTTGGTTTGAACTTTTTACAGTAAAGTACGTTTATAACAAACAAGCTTTTAACGAACTGACGGGTATAACAAACTTAGTTTTTGGTCCCGGCTATTTGCTATATGCTGTGTATATGCTTATGACGAACTACGGTTATGAGGAACTAGAAATAGTGGTCCCTTTGAGTTTGTTATAACCGTAGTTTACTGTAATTGTTATTATATTCTATCTGCAATTTCACACAAAAAATTCGCACAGAAAAGGCAAACCTACATTTTTGTTAGACCAATAAATAAAAACAGACTTTAGAAGTATGCAGCTGCATCATGTTTAGAATTGGAAATTTCAGTGTAAGTTGTATATTTATGTACTGATTTATGTATTTACTTATCCTTTCTCACACTATGCATCTCTTTCTTTTTTTCTCCTCGATCCTAGGTAGGAAAGGTGCTTGAACAGATTTTCCAGTTTCCAGCATGATCATGTATATCATGCCGCACATGTTTTCACGTATGTCATTGTCATCGTTACATGAATGACTGTGTATCTGTAAAGAATGAGTGATACAGCGTATGACTTATAAACTATCCGGAAGGGGTCTCCAGTCAATTAATTCTACCTACAAGACTGTCTCCAATGGACACTGCTCAGCATCTCTTAACACTTTGTCAAAGCTATCAGTCATGCCCGATGGATTGAATCTTGCTAAGATGAGAAGAGGAACGATTGGCAATATCCAGAAGGGCATCTCCGAGCCAGGCAGAGGTAAGCGGGATAAAGGGTTGGGACCTGTCGAAACAGCTAGGAACCTGAACAATAAAAAAACAATAGACACAGGAGCTAAAGTTTCAAGATTTATTCTGTATGTACACAAGGGTGGTAGGAGAGAGCAGGAGCGGGTACATGAATCAGTTCTCTGCACTGGTGTTCAGTTGGCAACTGCTGAGCCAGGACCAAGGGACTGAATTGATGAAGGCCCTGTACATCTGTAACGGAGATAGTGGGAAGCGAAGATCGTGCCTGACTTCCAAAAGCACCCTTCCATGATGGCCTGCAATCCAGCAGAAGTGAAGGCCTGTTGTATAGTCAACCAGAGCCAAAACAAGATCATGGTAAGGGTGACTTTAACTAAGGCCGCTGTGAGTGAAGAGTTTAATGAAGAGTCTCTTCCGCTTTCAAGTAGATTTGGAGTGCATGAACTGGACATACGGAGAGATCTTCAAGGTCATAAGGGCCCAGGATGGATGCCAGTGATGGGATCGTAAACAGCCGATCTGGTCCTGGAAGCTGGTTCTTCACAATAAAATCCCAGCAAAGGCCCAGAAAAACCTTCCCACTCCCTTACTGTTTAAGCTGTTAACATCCTGAGCATGGATCTCATCTAACGTGTGCAGCAGTTGCAAGGGCCAGCAGAGAAACTGTTTGTCAGCAAGTGGTTCATAATCATCCGAAGTCAGATGACCGGGAATGATGGTTAGGATGACTGGTCCGCCAACTTGTAGGACTGGATGTGGGTTGAAGTTCAGCAACTGTAGAGACCTTCCAACCCATGAAAGTAGCAATGACGGAGTTGATCCCTTAAACTTCCACGTAGACATCAAGTGATGGATGTATTCAGCGATCTGTCATGGTAAAGCAGTAATGGGAGTGGAAATGTCATGAGCAAAAATAGGCCTCAAACACCTTTCAGTTGTGGTCGTAGAGGATCTTAGTAGAGGAACAGTGAACTTCCTTAAATGTCTTAGCTACCCGTTGGAATATCCTTTGGAAACAAGGGACCTCTGCAGGTGCGCCAAACTCAAAGATGGCGTTTCGAACGATGGGTGGAGCAGCTGGGTTTGTGGCGGAAAGGTCTTGTAGTGGAAGATGGTGTAATGTTCTGTCGGTGAGCAGTATCAATATGGTGAACAAAAATCAGAGTTGGTCAAAAGGGTGCGACCAAAATCAGTGTGAGGAGACTAGTGGCAGCCACTTTCTGAATGACGCGAAGTAGAACGCCGGTCCAGGGAAAGGCCTTCCTGGAAGATCTCTATCACATTGGAGAACCCAGGAATGTGCCTCACTCATGCCTGAATGTTGAGGGAGTGATCACCCGGAAGAAGTCAATTGAGAGCTACGGCAGTGACATTGACTTTTTATGTCAGCTTGTTTATGTTCCAGACGACACAGAGATTTTCCAACTGGATCATGATGCATGACAAACGAAAGAGCTCTGACCAGTGGGTCGGTCACTGGCTGGATGACTGATTTGAACTTGATGTTGTTCCTGTCACTGCTACCTGTAGATCATGGAGGTGCGCCATTGAGCCCACAGTCGTTGCGTTGATGAAGAGGTGTACCTTTGGGACAAACGGCTGCAAGAGACTCTTGCAAACATTCAATGTTACCAGATGTAGGCAATCATGAGTGCCGCAGTCAATCATGAAATCTTCTTAATGTCCCAAAAGCCTTATCAAGGTTAGTGACAAATCGGTGAGGGAGCGAAATGTTCGATGAACTAGTGGACAGTCCAGTGAAGCTGGACAGATGATCCTCAGCCGATTTAGTGTGCTGTAGCTGAAGTTGATCAGCGATCCAATGTAGAACCATAACAGGATTGGTGGTATGAAAACTCCCAGACAAGGAGGGGGAGGTGTGTTGATCCACTTTGATATCTATTGGTGTAGGATCCTCAACCGGAGGAAAAGGAGCAGCTGATTTAAGAGGAGCAGTCCCTGTGGGAGCTGGTGTGGAGGTGAAACCATCCAGGGTTGTAGCCCAGAACGATTCCGGAGAGTTAGAAGTCACCGCCTGGAGAAAAGATTCTAAAATGGGTGTTGAATCATTACCTGGTCTCTATGGTCACAAGAGGTAGGTAGTGGCTGTGTGGAGGGAAGGAGCTGTACTATCTGATTCTATCCAGACGAAGGGGGAGGTACCCAAATAGGGAGTGGAGATGATGATCGGAAATGGTTTGGAGAATGTTGTTCCATACGAAAGGCCATCAGAGAGGGACATCTACGAGTAGGTAGTGTTAGGTAATCACCTCTTGTTACAGTTTCATATAATGAGCCAAATTATTTCTTAGTCATCATTTTACCGTTAGACATATGCTTTGAGAATGATCTGAAGTTCAAAGGCTAGATTAGATTGTAATGTGTTATTTTGATATGTTATTTGTTTATATACCTTGGAATCGTATGCATCAAATAAAGCCGGAAAAGCAGTTTCCTCGCATGGCTGACTGTGCCTTAGAATGATGCTCACTGAAGTGTAGGGGCCATTTAGAAAGTCAGCAAATAAACAGACTCCTGACAGTTGTGACCATGTGGCCATATGCAAGGTTTACAAATGTATGCAGACTGTTCCAGTTCTTACATCTGGTAGATCGGCTGGGCCTACGCTTTCTGGTCCAGCACATTCCCGGATGTTTGGAACATTCAGGCAGATGCTCTATCCAGACCAGACTGGGTAGCTCTCACGAAATGGAAGTTTCATCCCGAGGTGTTTCATCTCATATGTCAGTGCCTAAGTCATCCCAACATCAACCTCTTCGCCACTTGCCAGAACTACCAGATCTCAACGTAGTCTCCTCGATCCAAAATCTGCATTCAGAATCCCTTGGAAAGGACTAAGAACGTACGCTTTTCCCCCACCAGTACTTCTTCCCAAGGTGATGCAGAAGATCAGGGCAACCAAGAGCCTTGTTCTGATATTGATCGGCAAGAGGGTGGTTTGTAGACCTCAGACATCTTGCAGGAAGTGATCCACTAGCTCTACCGGGGTGGCCCAACCTACTTATCCATATAAAATACAGTGTCTTCCAACATACTCTGGCATCATACATGCAAGGATATCACATCAAGGGATAACAATGCATCAATCCTTTTTTTTTTTAAGTTTTCCTACCATCAAATTTTGATATATCGTAAGTACTGACAATGCATTATTTCTTGTTTTCTAACACACTCTAGCATCAAATGTAGATATGCATTCACAAGACAATGTTCATTCCTTGTTTTGCATTATTCTCTGTCATCCAATGTGACCCACCAGGAGAAAAGTGACTTTCTGGGTGCTAGGATTATTGTGCTTTGACGTCATAAAAAAATGTTTAACATGAACTTACTCACATAAAAATCGCCATGTGAGGACTTACTAAACTATCTTAATTTTACTTGTTAGTTCGTAATGTAAAAAAGAAGTTTCAGCATACATATCTACTTTCAATAAATCAGACACTATATCTAAGAACTTCTATCATTACATAAACAGTTGTAAGTATGAAATGGGACTTCGCAAAAAATGATTCCAAATGTTTGATGCCATGTATCTCCGTCATAAATATGAATTGAAGCTTATAAATTGCAATTTTCTGGCTTGTGAATTGTATTTTTGTGGTCCTAAGATCCTGTAGTTTTGAAATATGGTCCGTTATTTCATGGTTGGTCACAATATGCATATGTTAGTAAGGTATGATAATGGTCATTCCATTGACTGTTCACCTCTTCCATCGACATAATAACAAATCCATCAGTATTTTTTATATTTTTATTATATCCCTTTGTCAAAAAAATTGACAGTCGTCACATATAAAATATATTTAAAGGAATTGAGATTTGTATAAGAAAACAAACATAAATAGCATTCAAAAATATATCTGTACATGACCTTGCTGCTGCAGGAAGGTCGCTGTGCGTGGGGGAGGAAACATACCACAGCTGGGATCTCCTCGTAGATGGTCCTCCAAGCTGAAATGTGCACGTTTTATTGGGGATAGGGCAGGGTGGTGTGAAGTGGGGAGGATAACATTTTTGAAGTATTTGCCTCTTTCGTGACACAGCCTTTGTAAGCCATTGTATCGATGCTAAATCACCATGGTGTCCCACCTCAACTGTTCAGCAGTGTGTAGAATTGGTCATGAGACAAAAGGTCTATTTACTTGAGACAAGCATAATTTCATCATTTGAAGCATCCTACGCCTTGAAGCTTTAAATGAGATTGACCAATCACCGGCATTGTGTAAAGTGTAATGAAATGGACGGCATCTCTGTGTATCACAGATCATGCAGCACTAAACACTCAGGGTTAAATGTGGACAACAGTTCTACATGCCTAGACATGCATCGTCAGTACATACAAATCATTCTCGTCAACACACAATCTTGGTTTGTCAGGCATTTCAGCAGTTATTGGTTACCATTCTTTATAGTCATATTGGACACAAATAAATAAACACATAGAAACTGACAGAATAGTTTGCCACAACATTCTGAAGATCCATTTTCTTGTCAGTGTGAAACATGAAACACACTGTCTTATTTTGTCAATACGAACATTACAGTAACCTTGTAAATCAGGACCCCCCCAGTTTCTGGGCGATAACTATAGAAATCTTACATATCGGTATATATATACAGTGACATTACTCTGTAACCGTGACTTGTTAACCTGGAAATCTGAAAGTTTTTATTTGCTTCAAGTTACCCGAGTGTATTAACTTACATTTTTGCAATTAATCTCTGATTGTGACATGGCACAAGCAGTTAACTGTTGGTGAGATTTTCATAACGAGCACAACGGATGGAGTCACTCTGCCAAATGAGAAACAGGACAAGCTTTCTACTGGGAATGCCTGAGAAACTGAAACTGTGCCTTCTTTTACTAAACATCAAAATCACATTAGTAATACATGTACAAACTTGATCACCAGTATCACATTCAAAGAGGTAAATAATGTTCACAGCATTGACGAGTATCAATAATATATTTTATGACTCAGTTATATACTTCACTATTAAATGTATCATTGTTCTTATAAACATTGGTCAACTTTGGATGTTTCGTCTCCTGTACTCCCATTCCATGCTACACCAAACTGATTCTGTACAATCTGGATGATTATTTGAGTAGGAGGACCAAGCCTGGACATTGTATTTAGACACTTAACTGATTCCTGGTTTCCAGGATTTGGCCAGCCAATTACCTTGGGTTGGTCACAATAAATACAATAGAAGATGTGTAGAGATGTGTATTTGTGTTTGTCGGTTTAGTGGGGAAATGCTTATTGTGTGTTCAGAGTGTTCTAGCATTACAGTGAGGGGTATATGAATACATGCCTGAGAAGGCTTTGTTGTCTATAAGAAGACTGCACTGGTCAGAGACTGCAATGCATTTGATGAAATATTACCTGGAAGTAAACAGTTACCAATTTACCGGGTATGTAGTTGTAGCATTTTGCTTCTAATCCATTAAAGAGTGGTTGGGAAAATAAAAATAAATCTAGACTATTTTTATTTTATGTTGTGAAAGTGGCTTTTGGCTTGGTCGAATCTGTAAACTAAATAATATGTAAAGTGCAATAAATTTATATGCCATGTGAAACTTTTCTCAGACAGCCACCAGGCAAGGGTGAAGTCCCCCTACAATTATGTGTAATTATGTGTAATTATTTGTGGTGATTTATAGTTCATGCTCACATATTATTACAATTCTGTCACAGTTTTGATTTAATATTAATGATACATATTTTCTTCATAGGATTGCCTGTACCAAGTTTCTACAACAACAAAGCACTATAAACATAAAATAATATTTACACAACAAATGAATAGAATAAGCAGGTAATATACTCAAGACTAGAAATAATGCTACCTCTACATCAAGCACTCTTAAATATTCATATTTCTCAGAGGTAAATTCTTTTCAGTCATGTTAAGTGAATCACCATTGTACTGATATTCTAGTTTCTAGCTGTTCAGTTGCTACATACAAACAGTATTACACACACAACAAATATGGTTTATATGTAAAAAAAACAGCATGCCAACTGTCTACCCAATTCAACTGACTCAATTGTAGAAAACATTATTTTTGGATCCACCTGACTGATTACCTTTACATACACCCTGCTACATGCAACAAGACAATAATTTGTTGTTACATCTTGATAAATACAATGAGGTAGGGATGAAGCGTAATGTCACATATTGTGTTACATTAGACTGTACAGGAACAAAGCGGATCCTCTGTAGGACCCTATATACATACATGTCAGTGTACCGCTATTTTCAGAAAACTGACAGACATAGGGTAAACACATCCTCAAATCCCAACATTTAATCGTTGATCACTTTAAAAACAGAACTTTTTGGCTCTTTTTGTCAACTTATCAAAACGTAACTTAGCTGCTGAACCCATGAAGAAGGGAAGTAACTCCTACATGCACCAATGAATATGTTTAGACTTAACTGGAAGGTGAAGGAAATAATGTTGGTTCAGATCTGATGCTTTACCATTAGGGAATTAAAAGCCATCATTCCCTAATTTCAAATATCAGACAAAAGGAAAGTTTATATTCGTTTCAAGAGTGAGTAGACATCAAAATAGCATGACATTTCTATCTTACATTCATGACACTTAATGAAAAGAAAGTTCTGACTTGTGATAATGCTTCCTATTTGTTTGAAGAAGATATCCTAGCAGAGATAAAAGATACTCCTAATCTTGTCCAGTGAGTTGGCCAGGAGCTAAAGTCGGGATACACCCTGGTAAATAAGTGGGTAAAATACAAATACACAGTGTGCTTCAAATACCGGAATCCTCAACTCAAGAAAGTGAAAAAGTCCTTCTTTTTGTCTTGAAGCAGGTATTATATAGAAATGTCCACATAACTGCCAGAACCGACAGTCTAGTTAATATTAAACAATATCTAACCATACTTTCTCAGGGCTAGTTTACAAGGACTGTTTTCTGAGGTTTTAAAATACAATATTCAAGGGGAACACAGGACACTTAAATGCATGGATAAATGTGTTCAGATCATTATGCGTTAATATTATCAAATACAGTTCACCTTGAAAGTAGTTTCATGTGATTAAAAGTTCTAAACTGCAAAATGTCAGCACATCAAATTTAAAATTTGTTCACTTGGAAGTTTCATTAAACTAACCACTGGATATATCAATGCACTCAGCTGTTCACAGAATAAATAAATTAAGTTAATGTTTCAGATTAATTTTCTTTGGTAATTAGATATAATACAAATACTACTGATTCTGGCACACTCTCAATCCCTATAATGAATCATTTGGCCAGGCCAATTCAATTTTATTATAGCAAATAGGTTCTCCAGGCAGAGGCAATAAGTAGAAAATACATGTCAGGATTGATTCGAAATAAATGGTATGTTAAATAGATATGACCAATAAAAACACATTTACATAAAACATTTAAAGTAAACAAACTTTTTCTATTTTTATTTGTTTACTTTTCCATAATTTAGGATACCTTCCTCAATAAAACGGTAAAATATATTGGTCTGTCCTTAACAAAAATGTATAACTGGATTAAGATTATTTATGTCATCTCTTACAAAATAACTTAATAATAACTTAAGGAAATACAAACATGACACTATCACAGAATGGTACATGTAAAACTACTCCGCTGTTAATACAGCTCAACAATATACAAGGAACATTTCATATCAGCTTAAATGGGACGGTAGGAATTTGGCAACCATTGGTATAAAAATGTAAAGGCACATGTACAAAAAAATGAAAATTGTTGTTGGTCCATAAATCAATATTAATATTCAAAACAAAATCTGTACAAGGACACACTAAAGATGTTCAGATGACCATTTACTGTTGTTGTTATAACTGATTTGGCACATGGTGTTTGCTAATATCTACACATATACAACATACAGCCAATTGAAATCCAGGACTGTTCATTCAATAGCACTAGTAACCCTGGGATTTCTTGTGTCTTTATCACAGATTCTGATTGGCAGATCCTTCAACAACTGACCTCGCACATGGACGGACAACATTATGACGGGTTGACACACCAGCCCTCCCTATATATATGTAAGGCATAATCTGTCGGTGGGAAGCTGTTTGGCAGTTGTCAACCTGGCTAGCTACACCTCTAGTCAGAGCAACATAAAGGCAACAGCATGGCATCCCTATTGGTTCAGTCTTCAAGAACAGATGTCTGGACACCATTATCAGCAGTTTGTAGATGAGCATCGCAGAAGACTTGTGGATCTGTAGGCATTCCTAGGAACGTCACAGAAGACTTGAGGATCTGTAGGCATTCCTAGGAACGTCACAGAAGACTTGTGGATCTGTAGGCATTCCTAGGAACGTCACAGAAGACTTGTGGATCTGTAGGCATTCCTTGGAACGTCACAGAAGACTTGAGGATCTGTAGGCATTCCTAGGAACGTCACAGAAGACTTGTGGATCTGTAGGCATTCCTATGAACGTCACAGATGACTTGTGGATCTGTAGGCATTCCTAGGAACGTCACAGAAGACTTGTGGATCTGTAGGCATTCCTTGGAACGTCACAGAAGACGAGGATCTGTAGGCATTCCTTGGAAATCACAGAAGACTTGTGGATCTGTAGGCATTCCTTGGAGCTTCACAGAAGACTTGAGGATCTGTAGGCATTCCTATGAACGTCACAGATGACTTGTGGATCTGTAGGCATTCCTATGAACGTCACAGATGACTTGTGGACCTATACACATGTTCCAGTGAACAACACTGAAGACTTGTGGGCATGTAGGTGTTGTTAGGATCATCACAGAAACTGTTGGACCTGGCCTGTTGGAGGTGGTGGAGGGTTTTGGCATTTGGTTTTGTCAATCGTTCAGTCATGGCACATTATGTACAGTTATCATTTTAGGAACACTATGTACAAACAGTAAGAGACCTTTGGTGTGATTGAGATACTCTGTAGAGTCAAATCTTTGACAGTTCTGTGTCTGATGCACAGCAGATAATACTCATTTAGACACAGCTGTGTCTTCTTCATATAGTCTTTAGGTTATCATCAGCACTTGCTTTCACCATGCAGGTTTTGAAAATCTCACATTTTTGGTTGTGTCACGTTTTTTCTCTTGCATATTTTTCACCAAAGCAGCTTCTGAACGTTCCCCTTCATAGCTATGAGGACGTACTTCCTGTGTCTCGGTTACTGGTTTCCTTGGTGATATTGTTGGAGGTGTAACAGAAGTTCGACCAACGAGTTGTTTGTTTTTCCCTCCAAACTGACTCCTGCCCTTGAAGTTGTGTTGGAATTTCTCAAAGGTGCTCTTTGGTTTGACAGGCAACTTTCGCTGAGGGCTATTTTGCTTTGTTTCCCAACCTTTGATTTCTTTTTCGATCTTCTTCATTTGATGATCTTCTTCTACCTCAAGCTTTTCAATCTACAATGTGACCAACATCAAGTATTATTTCTATATATTGACCATATCGTGTATTCACTTAGTGGTCCTGACAACACAGTATGTGGGAATAAATAAGTTTCCAAAATTACGTCAGTAGAGGTTTGTGTAAGTACAGTGTAGTAAAAACGGAACGTAGGAAGAATGGAGAAAATAGGAAGGGCACAGTTGGGCAGAAATGAAAATTGATAGAGGAGGCACAAGTAGTCTATCCACTTACAGGCCCCCCAAACTGAAATTTGGTTTCATGTAAAACATTTATAGGATTTCTGCAACATTCATGGTGCAGTATGCATCCTGAGGTTTTATCATGATGATGGATAGTCTAGGTTGTGAGTAACTTCATATCTTTGACTGTAATGAGATTATGTCAGCGGACATCATGTGAATCTGAGGCTACTGACCCTGTCGAAGCGGTTGAGCAGATGCTCCCAGCGTGGCACCGCGTTGTCCAGCTGGTGCTCCAAGTACAGGGCTTGTTCCTCCGACAGTAACGGATCACTGCCGCTGCTGAGAGAGGATGAGATGCTGGAACGACGGGATGTGCTACTGGCTCGACTCGGCAGCGATGGATGACCCTTGAACCGGACTGATCGGAATGCCTGGAACCACACACGGTATCATGTGACAGGAGTTATCTCCCATTCATGGTGACTGATGAATAATATTTCTCTTCTTCGAAAAAGCTATAAATTTGTGGATCAACATTTATTAAAGTGACTCTTACAGAAAACAATTCAGGGAAGTTCTATGAAAAATGATCAAACTTACTGTAATTACCTTTACTTGCTTTGATTCATGTATATCCTCTGCTCTGTTGTTTTAAACCAGTTATACAGGTAGTATTCATCAACCATTTCTGGGATGGTGTGACATATTAATCTGTTCGTCTCATAGTAAAAAAACAAGAGACTCTGGCCATTTTTGTGAAACCAAAGAGTCATACAGACCCAGCACCACAATTAGGTTGAATCTGAACCCACAACCTTTGGATCCTGGCAATGCTAAGGGAAGCAACTCTACACAGTAAATTTTTGCATGTTAGATCACCCATACCCAAGAGACTAACAGGATAATTTATCATAAACAGTAACTCATAAAACAAAACAATCTGCAATAATGTAATTGTAAGAATTAAATCAAAATGGTGTTGACAAGTTATGAATGAACAGGTAATATACATGGACACAATTTTGAGCTATATTCAAGGATAATTTCAATTTGTTATTTTTCCCTTTGGAATTTTAGTGAAATGTGACAGGAAAGTTAAAAATTGCATGTACCTTTCACATGTGAACAAAGCTGCACACTACTTTGAATACCAGCTAAACTATGAAACTAGTATTGGAGCAAACAATTACAGGTCGTGTACCACTTGTCCCCATACAAGCAGCTTTCAACTGGACTTTACTTTCTCCCCTACATTTCTGGTCTTTGGGGTCTGGTGATCTGTACAGCAGGTAAATGAAACACCAAGTGTGTGTTGCACTCACAGGTTTCTGTTTGGTGATGCCTGCCCACAGCTTGAACCTCCTCATCATGAACTCAATCATCTCATGGTCCTGTGTGTCCAGGGAAGACTTGAAGAACATGGACTGGTGGGTGATCTTGTACGTGTCCAGCACCACAGCAATCACCAGCCCAATGAACAGCCCGTAGGCGAAGGCGTAGAAGGAGTAGAAGTAGAAGTGGGTCATCACAGGCCAGTGGTGCAGGAAGTGCCAGAAGTCAAATGACCCTCGTATCACTCCCATCAGGGAAAGTAGAGCCGACTGGAAGCTTGCAAAGCCACGGGTTGTCATTCCAAAATACTGAAAATGATATTATTTGTCTAACATTATGATAACAAATTAATGTTGTTTTACTGTGAAATCTATCAGCGCTTTGAGCATACCTCTGTGTGGTGTGGAAATATGCCCAATTCTATTATTATTATTTTTATTATTATTATATATCAATGCAGCCTGTAAAAACTCCACCCAGGGCTGTGCTACTTACCACGTATCACAGGTCAGACCCCGCTGTGCTACTTACCACATATCCCAGGTCAGACCCCACTGTGCTACTTACCACATATCCCAGGTCAGACCCCGCTGTGCTACGTACCACATATCCCAGGTCAGACCCCGCTGTGCTACTTACCACATATCCCAGGTCAGACCACGCTGTGCTACTTACCATGTATCCCAGGTCAGACCACGTATCCCAGGTCAGACCACGCTGTGCTACTTACCACGTATCCCAAGTCAGACCCTGCTGTGCTACTTACCACATTTCCCAGGTCAGACCCCGCTTTGCTACTTACCACGTATCCCAGGTCAACCCCGCTGTGCTACGTACCACGTATCCCAGGTCAGACCCTGCTGTGCTACGTACCACGTTTCCCAGGTCAGACCCCGCTGTGCTACTTACCACGTATCCCAGGTCAGACCCTGCTGTGCTACGTACCACGTATCCCAGGTCAGACCCCGCTGTGCTACTTACCACGTTTCCCAGGTCAGACCCTGCTGTGCTACTTACCACATATCCCAGGTCAGACCCTGCTGTGCTACTTACCACGTTTCCCTGGTCAGACCCCGCTGTGCTACTTACCACGTATCCCAGGTCAGACCCTGCTGTGCTACTTACCACGTATCCAAGGTCAGACCACGCTGTGCTACTTACCACATATCCTAGGTCAGACCCTGCTGTGCTACTTACCACGTATCCCAGGTCAGACCCTGCTGTGCTACTTACCACGTATCCCAGGTCAGACCACGCTGTGCTACTTACCACGTATCCCAGGTCAGACCCTGCTGTGCTACTTACCACGTATCCCAGGTCAGACCCTGCTGTGCTACTTACCACGTATCCCAGGTCAGACCACGCTGTGCTACTTACCACATATCCCAGGTCAGACCACGCTGTGCTACTTACCACGTATCCCAGGTCAGACCACGCTGTGCTACTTACCACGTATCCCAGGTCAGACCATGCTGTGCTACTTACCACGTATCCCAGGTCAGACCACGCTGTGCTACTTACCACGTATCCCAGGTCAGACCATGCTGTGCTACTTACCACGTATCCCAGGTCAGACCACGCTGTGCTACTTACCACGTATCCCAGGTCAGACCATGCTGTGCTACTTACCACGTATCCCAGGTCAGACCACGTATCCCAGGTCAGACCACGCTGTGCTACTTACCACATATCCCAGGTCAGACCATGCTGTGCTACTTACCACGTATCCCAGGTCAGACCACGCTGTGCTACTTACCACGTATCCCAGGTCAGACCATGCTGTGCTACTTACCACGTATCCCCGGTCAGACCACGTATCCCAGGTCAGACCACGCTGTGCTACTTACCACATATCCCAGGTCAGACCAGGCTGTGCTACGTACCAGGTATCCAAGCTGAGCATAGGACATCAGAAGCAACAGGAATATCAGCGTACAGCCGGCCAGTTTCCCCAGTGCATTCGAGATCGTCTTCCCATATGCATGGAACATGGGGAAGAAGCGTAACTGTCGCACAATCTGTAAAATATGCACCTCTTGAACTTTCTAATCTTTTCAAATCTGTGAAAGATTGTGGCAATTATTCTGAGCAAACAGGAAGTTGTCTCATTATTTAAGTCAATAGCGCTTTATGATTGAAGATTCAAAGATGAGATGAATGCAGCCTGCTTGGTAACACCTAACACCTCTCTATGCTGCTTTAAGTATGATTTTGTTTTTATGAGGACCAAATGGGTAGTCACAGTATTGTTATACATATATGTAAGTCAGTACACCTGATCACTTATAAACATCCAATATATTGCTGTTCAGTATGCTATAAAACTGGTGGTGGTGATGGTGTTCACGGGGACAAGCATGGGTTGCTGAAGACCTATTCTACCCTGGATCTTCACGGGTCTACACTATGTCAGTACAATGTGTAAGTTGCTAGTAGACTTGTGATATGATACAGCATACACTTGCCTCAAGCCATGATAAGGAGTCATAATGCATTATCATGGATATGAAAAACAACACAAACCAAAACATATTTGGTAAACTTGAGTCAACATACCAACAATGATTTGGGAACACATACCACCATGAAGTGGTATTTCAGAATGTATTATTCACATCATGTACTCCTAACATAGCCATGTCAACAAGACCTCATACCCGTATCGTGGTACAGTGCATTGGGATTAATATCCCACCTCCGTTCCCAGTGACCAATACAGTTCTTCTTATTCACTTTTCTTATGAGGCCTTATTAAGATTATAAAACTCACATGCTTTCTTAAACTTCCAGACGTGACTCAAAATCGAAGTAAAGGTGCAAATGTTCCCACTATGTGGCAAGCCACTGACATTCCTGCTTGGCCACAGGGGTTGAGTGAAGGGAACAATTTTTGGAAACAACTCACATTTTGAGTTAATATTGTATGTCCATTTCAGTTAACGGTCAACTGTGATACGTACACATCACATTAAATGGAAGAGGTAAATAATAGGGCTGGGACGAGTCCAAATTTATGACCCAGGTTCTCGACCCCCTATTACCCGGGTATCCAGTGTAGGCCTCAAGAGTTGGGTACATAATGTCCGATTGGGAATTGTCTTACTGGAGCCTTGGCAAATGCTATTTACATACAAGTGTAAATGACTTTTATTGTTATTGTATTTAAACCTTATATCACATGACTAACCATGGGTCCGGGTAGTCCTGTTGGTACGGAGGTCCTACTCAGGACCATCCTGACCCGAGTACCCAAGTTACCTGTCCCAGCCCTAGTAAATAAACATTAACTCACCCCAAGTGGTGTGTACGACTATTATACATTCCTTGTATCAACCAAGACACCAACAGTTTCCTTGTGTAAAGTGTCATCCCATAATGAAACTGTGGTTGTATTGGTCTATACACTTGTGTACTAAATCTTTGGTGAACTGTTAAGCCGTACATGAGTGCCTACGTTTAAAGCTTGAGCCCCAGTGTGATCAACAGGTGACTAAATGTTACCTTCAGGAATATTAGGAACAACAGCCATGCATGCAGCATACGCATAACATCATGCAAGTGTGCGGGCATCTCAAAGTTGGTGAAATCATTCTTGTGAGCAGTGTAGTAACCAAACGTGTCTGTTGCCATGACAACACAAGCGATGTAGAGGCCAATACACACAACTGCCAACATCGCAATGACTAGATCTAACCAGTTCCAGAACTGCTTCACAAACTGGGCTCGTTCTTCTCGTATCGTGAGCCCAAGATGGACAACCAGGTAGATGACGCACAGCAGGAACAGAACCTGGAAGAAAGTGGCAGATCCGACTCAGTACAAGTTAGGGAGCAGTTATTGGTTTCTAGGGAGGGTGAACAAAGCTATGTACTTTGAAAATGGACATTTGTGGGCAGTTCCAAAAGGGGATTAATAAAGACACACCCCGTTGTTTCTTAGTACCAGGTCATCTACAACCAAAAATCAGATCTTAGTTATCACTACTACTAACCAAAGATGTGAGGACATCCCATTACGAGTTACATCAGAACGACCTTTCGCAACCTTTGACTGACCAATGTAATGACTTACAAGAAATTGAGGGATATCCTCAGATCTTTGTTTAGTAGTAGTGAGGACTAAGATCTGATTTTAATGAGGTTGTCTACAACCCAAACTATCAAGGCAACTGTGTGTTCTGTGTGAGTTTACTTTTGTTAACATTGACATCCAAAATCATGGTGGTAAAGAAATGAAGTCAAATTGATTAATCTGATTTACAGTCAATGTTTGACCTCGTCTGGAGTGTTGAACTGTCAGATCCTCATGGTGGGGGTTCACATGAGAGTGAGTGAGTGAGTTGGGTTTAACACCGCTTTTAACAGTATTCCAGTTATATCACGGCGTGTCAGCTTAATGTGGGAGGAAAGCCCGAAGTGATGCAGGTCTCAGACATTTACCACTTCGGTGAAACCCACAAGCACGGGTATGGTGCTGACAAACCTAGAAACATAATCGGGGCGAACAGGGATTCAAACCCACAATCATAGGTTTCTGGCGTGCCCAAGAGACGCAACTCTGCACAGCGAATTGCAGCGCCTTGGATGACTGGGCCACCCGTGCCTCCGGTTCACATGAGAGGAGAAGATTTAATGAGACTATTACCCATTACAATATTACACAAAGCGTGAGCGGATTATGAACCTGTAATTAGTCCTTTTAAAATATCAAGAGAGAAACCCCTAGAGACAATGTTTGAGTTATTTAAGGAGGGATGAAGAGCAACACAGCACCTCAGGGGGATTGTCAGTCTCCTCACACAATTCTAAGCAATTCACAGATAACCAACTTTATCACACTCATGTTTTTCAAAATTTTCTCTTGATATTATCCTTAAGTTAATCTGTATCAGTATTTTGAAAGAATCTTTGCTTTCATAATAATGTTACCACATAACTAATTTCATTTTCATTTTTGTTGCAACAATTTGGTAATTATGAGAAGGTTGCTGAAGAATGAGAATGCAGGTCTCACCTCACAGACCATGAGGGGATCCACTCTGCCGGGGAGGAATCGCAGGAGTTTGAGAGTGGACACATACTGACTAGACAGAGCGCCTCCTGCGGGATAACCACATGTCATCATAATATGGCATTGGACACCAAACCAGGTACACAAAGAAACACAAGACCTTGAAACATATACTTCATACTAACTTACTCATCCTGACATCTTTATTTCTTATGTTCAGGGTGTAAACAGCCCTGCATTGTCACAAATATCCTTAAGGGCTGGTAGCTCACCTGACACAAGTATTCAAACATTGTAATACAAATCCCAAAGGCCAAAATTAGTTCAATTTGTACCCAAGTAAATTGAAAAGGATTTTTCTGCAACATTTTCTATAATGGTCACTATTGTTTGATGCCCAGATGCCCCTAGCAAACCTTAAACTAATTACAGTCATCAACATTTAGAACTTATATCATTGTAGTGGTCTCTGAGATCATTGAGAAACTTTTAGGAAAAGATATTTTTGAATAAAGTTAGATTAGAAGTGAATTCTGAAAAAACTTGAAAACACTTGAGCTTCTTTTAAGGAGGCCATAAAGCAATGCCCAAAGGCTGGAAGACCAGAGTTTATAATTTACAGTACAACAGCTTGAACATATCTCGATAAAAAAACATTAATATTTGAATAAACATCGGAGTAGACTGTAAGCAGATCACAAAGTCAGTTAGAGAATGGTCAACTGACACAGACAGGCTTCACGTCTGTGTTTGTAAATACATAGTGAAAGGTCTCCTGTGTTGGAAACCCCTGTGATGCTGAAACAAAATAATAATGTAAGCCTCATTTTAGAATGAGCACACAATCTAACCCTGGGGAGAACGCCTTCAAAAACTTTCAGTTCTATCAAAGGAGAAGCTTTTGATGAGAAATTGCAAATCCGAAAAGATAACAGATGACGACAGTGAATGAGTCACCATTGGCATGTGCCCACATGGCCTCCGAGCCAGATGAGCATCAACAGATAACAATACACACTAGACAGTCCCATGTCTCCCATGCTGTGGTGGTCTGTACCTCACAAGGGGCGGTGGGGTAGCCTAGTGGTTTAAGCGTTCGCTCGTCATGCCGAAGGCCCGGGTTCAATTCCCTACAATGTGTGAAGCCCATTCTGGTGTTGGTGTTGATATTGCTATAATATTGCTAAAAGTGGCCTCAAACCACACTCACTCACTCACTCACTCACTCACTGTACCTGACAAGGGGAACTCAAGGAGGACGGTGACTGTGGTTGTGAGGTCGGCGGCAGCACTGTACAGAGTGAACTCAGCAAACACAGCCCTTGTCCTGGAAGAGAGGTCATATGTCATTCCTGTTGATCGTTCCCTGTCAGCTACTCCTATGTCCTTGGTATGCACCACCAAGCAATGCTAGCACAACACACTATCTTAAGTGTTTAAGATGCAAAAGGATATTTGACATGTTTGCGATGGAAATATTTTTTTTTGTCTAGCATATGTATGTCACATGTCATGACAGAATGTTTCATCATCACCTTGACATTCATTTAAATTTAGATGTAATAGCAAAACTGTTCAACTTATGGACTCATCATTTATTGCAGAGGGAGGTGTTAGTGTATGATATTGGTCTTAGGGCTGTGTCATATTTTGCTGTCAGCCCCAATTTGTTTCATTTCTTCATCGCCCCCCAAATACATGTAAAAAAAATTCTAATTTATTTATTTGAAAAATGGAACTGTCACTTTTTCAAGGCCCTTCACTATAGGTATGATAAATTTTCGTATCCCCTTCCCTCTTTTCGCTGAGTCAAACAAGTCTATTTATAGCTGACACCTGTGTTGGGAATGCTCTTCTACCCAAACCCCAACAAAGTGCAGGGTGATAACAAATTCATTAAACTGCATATTTTCATATTTCTTTACCCATATGAAGAAGAACGAAACCCTCAGAATATGACCCAATCAAGAAACTCGGACTTTACACATATGGAGTGGTTACCAAATGGCACCGACATACACGAGGGTCCTGAGAAACAATACAAATTCCTCTTATCATTATCTGCTTTACTTCATTTTGTTGGTCAATATCGTGTTTGTAGGAGATTGGGGTAATTATTCCTTCCTGATTTCAGAGTAGATTCTCCAGTATCTCATACCGCAGATTGATCCAGTCACTGTCAAACAGGTTGCTGAGGATGCTGAGTGTCTCGTTGTAGGGGCTCTCGGTTGTTAACCTTGTTTTTGGCGTCATAAGCCCCCAAAGAACATTACGCTATTTCGGCACCGTCCGGTCAGCATGACCAGGACCAGCTTATCTCTAGGGATCGTCCGGGTCATCAGACCCCAAGATTGGCATATCCCTCCCACAGCTACACAGTCCGGGTCCCTAAGACCCCAGGACATTCAGTCATCTTACCCGGGTCACCACGACCCCAGGGTGGCAACCCGGGTCACCTCGACCCCAGGGTCTCACATAGGCAAACGAGGAAGCCCCCACGTTATGCCAAATGTTTTATGTAAATATTTGTATGTAATAAAACTTCCTGCCATGTTCTACATTTGATGTTGTTTGTGGCACAAACAATACAAATTCCTCTTATCATTATCTGCTTTACTTCATTCTGTTGGTCAATATCGCATTTGAAGGAGATTGGGGTAATTATTCCTTCCTGATTTCAGTGTAGATTCTCCAGTATCTCATACCGCAGATTGATCCAGTCACTGTCAAACAGGTTGCTGAGGATGCTGAGTGTCTCGTTGTAGGTGTTACCGAGGGTCATCACGTAGCCCCCACCAGAGTAGTGGAGGTCATGGCCGTACTTGGCCCGCCTAGGAGTCAAACAACATTCAAGTTTGTTGTGATAATGTTTTCAGAACTTTGGACTTACTGCTGTCTACTGAAGTAAACTTAGAACTCATTTTTCTATTATTACAAAAACACATTCAATTAAAGCTGATTGATGAACAAACAAAAATTCTATACACAATACATACGAAAATGTTATTGTTACATTTTCATATTTTTACTATTTTTTCACTACTACAATGAATTAATCCTAGAAACTACTGATACATGAATTACAGATGGCAATATACAATGCAATCACATTCACGACTGATGTTTGTACGAACTCATTTATGGCAAAAAGTGAAAGCAGTCAGTGGCTTTCTTATTCTGAAGGTACTTGGAGAGGTGATGTGACTGTGGATGTTTGACAGAGATAGAGAAGTGGACTTAAAGGAATCTCAGTCTCAAGTATTTGCCTACGTGTGTGTTCCCCTAATCCTTTGGGGCGGTGGGTTAGTTTAGTGGTTAAAGCATTCACTTGTCACGCCAAAGACCCAGGTTTGATTCCCCACATGGGTACAATGTGTGAAACCCATCTCTGGTGTTCCCTGCCATGATATTCCTGGGATACTGCTTAAAGTGGCATAAAACCATACTCACTCCCCTCTTCCTTCACTTGATGAAATACTGACCCTTGTATACACTGTATACATTGTCCTACCAAACATCCATGTATACGACAACAAAACTTAATGTACACACGAACCTTAAACAATTTGTTTAAAAAATAAAAAATAAAAATGGCTCATATTTTTGATAAATTTGAATTGAGGTGAGGTGAAATTGGGTTTAACGTCGCGTCCAAGATTATTGCACTTATATAGCGACGTGCATGCACGTGTATGTGTGTGTGTGGCTGCTTGTACTAGTCCGGACTGATGCCGATTTATAGTGCTAGCTCACTGAGATACCATGCCGCAGTTTAACATGAATACCCCACTCAGACACAGTATACTGACTCCGAGCCGACCAGTCCTTGTTTTAGCCCCTTAATGCCGAGCGCCAGACAGGGTAACAACAAGTACAATCTTTTAACGTCTTTTTGTATGACGCGGCCCGGGATCGAACCCTGGACCTTCCGCTCTCCGGGCGGACGCTCTACCACAAGACCACGGAGGCGGTCCAAATTTGAATTGAAATCTAATGCCTAGTTTATGACTATGCAACAATGTTGAACATGCAGTAAGAGACACTGAAATGAAACATGAGTGGATAATCGTTCAGAGACAGTGACATACATGTGAAGGTCAGTCGCTGTGAAGTATCTCCAGGTCACGTTGCTGCCGATGCTGTTGCTCCAGGCTTCGCCGTAGGTGTTGGTGTCCTCAGTGTAGCCGAGGTTTCCCTCACATGGTAATGCTGTCAGTGTGGGCAAGTGGAACTTGGCAAGGGGGGAACTGATCGGACAATCACCTGAAAGCACCAAGATATCTCCCCGTACACACGTTGTCATGAGTAAATACAAACTTGCTGGAAACAAGGAACAGTTTCATTTTGACAGACATAAACCAGATTTACCAAGGGGGCAATGGAGGCCCAGTCGTCTAAGGTGTCAGAATTTGCTCTGCAGAGTTGCGTCCCTTAGGAGTGCCAGGAAACAATGATCTTTGGATGATTGCGTGTCATCTTATCCTATTTGTGTGGATAGATAATCATGATGTCAATAAAGGGATTGTCCAGTCCTTACTTTATTAGAGCTGCAATATTACTGAGCTTGGCATGGCTGGCATTAAAAACAAAAAAACAACAAAAGAAAACGAATCCCAGTTCAGATTTATGCTTCAAGGTTTGTCAACACCATATCCAAAGTGTAACTTCCTCCAGGTTTACAAGTAATATTCTGACTTTGTCATGGATGTGTAATAATGATATTACAAGATGGTATTTCATTGTGACACTTTTTTTTTTTTATAAAATGTGATACTTAGATTATATCTGGAAACCCTTCACTTACACTTGATGATGACCTTTAATCTTGTAATGTAACATACCGAGTGTGCCTCTGATCTGACGGAGTCTTGCAGGCCCCAGTAGCACCCCAAACTGCTCCTGGGGGTTCAACTCCTGCCAGTGGAGCGTATTGGCCAACACCGTCTCAGTCCACGTCCTGAAGTCTGGGATGCTGCAACAGAAGCATGGGGTCAGTCACTTGGATGGAGTCTGAGACCAAGGATAATGATGGCTGCAACCTATAAAGTCTTCTGCCATGCTGCTGAGGCTAATTTTCAACTGACGAAAGGTTGAAAATAATTTAAGTCATATGTTATAATTATGTAAGAGTAAGTTTTATGATGTCTGACAATGCTGATTTAACTATGACATAATTCTGTTTCAAATGGATTAGAGCAGCAGTCATCAGCCCCAGAGCCATACATCAGACTTCTAATCAATAAAGACCTTCTTGACCTATATCAAGCATCAGATACAGCTTTTGTCAAAGGGGGTTAACTTACACTGAAATAAGATGAACGCAAACAATTTATTCTGGGAACAAACTTGGAACATTTGTTAGCCAATAATTTGTCACCTTTATTGAAAACATTTCACAATTGGTTAGTGTATATGTTTTTTTAACGTAAACATAAGTATGCTAAAAACTGGAGCGGGTGTGCATCTCCGTAATGTACGTCTCCATTCCCTCACCTTATCGACGTAATGTACGTCTCCATTCCCTCACCTTATCGACGTAATGTACGTCTCCATTCCCTCACCTTATCAACGTAATGTATGTCTCCATTCCCTCACCTTATCAACATAATGTACGTCTCCATTCCCTCACCTTATCGACATAATGTACGTCTCCATTCCCTCACCTTATCAACGTAATGTACGTCTCCATTCCCTCACCTTATAGACGTAATGTACGTCTCCATTCCCTCACCTTATCGACGTAATGTATGTCTCCATTCCCTCACCTTATCGACGTAATGTACGTCTCCATTCCCTCACCTTATCAACGTAATGTACGTCTCCATTCCCTCACCTTATCGACATAATGTACGTCTCCATTCCCTCACCTTATAGACGTAATGTACGTCTCCATTCCCTCACCTTATCAACGTAATGTACGTCTCCATTCCGTCACCTTATCGACGTAATGTATGTCTCCATTCCCTCACCTTATAGACGTAATGTACGTCTCCATTCCCTCACCTTATCAACGTAATGTACGTCTCCATTCCCTCACCTTATCGACGTAATGTACGTCTCCATTCCCTCACCTTATCGACGTAATGTATGTCTCCATTCCCTCACCTTATCAACGTAATGTACGTCTCCATTCCCTCACCTTATCGACATAATGTACGTCTCCATTCCCTCACCTTATCAACGTAATATACGTCTCCATTCCCTCACCTTATAGACGTAATGTACGTCTCCATTCCCTCACCTTATCAACGTAATGTATGTCTCCATTCCCTCACCTTATCAACGTAATGTACGTCTCCATTCCCTCACCTTATCAACGTAATGTACGTCTCCATTCCCTCACCTTATAGACGTAATGTACGTCTCCATTCCCTCACCTTATCAACGTAATGTATGTCTCCATTCCCTCACCTTATCGACGTAATGTACGTCTCCATTCCCTCACCTTATCAACGTAATGTACGTCTCCATTCCCTCACCTTATCAACGTAATGTACGTCTCCATTCCCTCACCTTATCGACATAATGTACGTCTCCATTCCCTCACCTTATCAACGTAATATACGTCTCCATTCCCTCACCTTATAGACGTAATGTACGTCTCCATTCCCTCACCTTATCAACGTAATGTATGTCTCCATTCCCTCACCTTATCGACGTAATGTACGTCTCCATTCCCTCACCTTATCAACGTAATGTACGTCTCCATTCCCTCACCTTATAGACGTAATGTACGTCTCCATTCCCTCACCTTATAGACGTAATGTACGTCTCCATTCCCTCACCTTATAGACGTAATGTACGTCTCCATTCCCTCACCTTATAGACGTAATGTACGTCTCCATTCCCTCACCTTATCGACATAATGTATGTCTCCATTCCCTCACCTTATCAACGTAATGTACGTCTCCATTCCCTCACCTTATCAACGTAATGTACGTCTCCATTCCCTCACCTTATCCACGTAATGTACGTCTCCATTCCCTCACCTTATCGATGTACCTTATCTTAGTTGTGATTTTCTACAAACATTAGAGCCAGCGTGGACAATTAAACCTTATTCATATCCTTAAAAGGATGAGATATACTGAATGTCAAAAGTAAGTGTCTTGAAGTGTACCTATGTTTAATTGGGCTAAAGATGGATAGTCCACTGATCAAGTTATTTGGAACCTGTATAATTATATCCTCATAATTTATCAGTTTTCATTGAACAATATATTCCAGAGATCACAGGTATGATTGCCTACATCATCTACAGTGTATCAGACATCAGCATTCTAACCTCCTGACATGACTGAGGTTGAGTCCTACAGCTCCATCCTGATGTAGGAGATGTTGCACATGCTGCGAGAACATGCAGTTGGTGGTGCCGTTGTAGATGAAGCTGATCGCCAGCAGCAGGGACAGCAGGAACATGTGGGAGACGAACTGTCGCAACATCACGTGCATGCGCTGGATCTTCACGCCCTCCTCCTTGGCGTGCATCAGGGCAAACCCGCCCAGGGGACGGAACTTCACATCCTGGGGGGGGAGGGGGGGGAAACAAGGAGTTAAGTGAGGAAAACATTTTGTGTGTGCGTGCGTGCGTGTGTGTGTGTTTGTGTGTGTGTGTGTGTGTGCGTGTGTTTGTTTTGGAGATTTCAAAAGAGAATTATCTTTTTCACCCAACTACCACATAACCTACCACCTCTAAAACCACTTATAAACCTCCAATGATGCTGTCCTATTGTTCTCCAGTCGGGTTAAATCTCATAAACTGTGATGTTATAGTGTCCCTGGGATTTTATAGGATATTCCACACATATTTGCTATATAATGTGTTATAATATCCCAGGGATGTTATATAATATCTCACATAATTATTAATACAACTTCCGTTCAGATTGTAACATGTAATGAAATCGCAGTGCTTCTTAGAAAGTCTTTTTCAAGAACCATATGCCAGGAACAGATATTTATGCCCATTTCCTAAGGTCCAATGACAAGTATGTTTGAAACATAAATATGTTGATAAATGTTGTTTTAAGTTTCTTTTTTCAGTTTATGAGTTAGATAAAACACTTCCCCTCGGGTTTTCATGATGTTTAAAACCCTTATCCCGAGGATGCTGGTTTTAAATATCATAAAACTCCACGGACATGCTTTATCCTACATATAACCTACCACCTCTAATACCACATAACCTACCACCTCTAATACCACATAACCTACCACCTCTAATACCACATAACCTACCACCTCTAATACCACATAACCTACCACCTCTAATACCACATAACTTACCACCTCTAATACCACATAACCTACCACCTCTAATACCACATAACCTACCACCTCTAATACCACATAACCTACCACCTCTAATACCATCTAATACCACATAACCTACCACCTCTAATACCACATAACCTACCACCTCTAATACCACATAACTTACCACCTCTAATACCACATAACCTACCACCTCTAATACCACATAACCTACCACCTCTAATACCACATAACTTACCACCTCTAATACCACATAACCTACCACCTCTAATACCATCTAATACCACATAACCTACCACCTCTAATACCACATAACCTGCCACCTCTAATACCACATAACCTACCACCTCTAATACCACATAACCTACCACCTCTAATACCACATAACCTACCACCTCTAATACCACATAACTTACCACCTCTAATACCATCTAATACCACATAACCTACCACCTCTAATACCACATAACCTACCACCTCTAATACCATCTAATACCACATAACCTACCACCTCTAATACCACATAACCTACCACCTCTAATACCACATAACCTACCACCTCTAATACCACATAACCTACCACCTCTAATACCATCTAATACCACATAACCTACCACCTCTAATACCACATAACTTACCACCTCTAATACCACATAACCTACCACCTCTAATACCATCTAATACCACATAACCTACCACCTCTAATACCACATAACCTACCACCTCTAATACCACATAACTTACCACCTCTAATACCACATAACCTACCACCTCTAATACCACATAACCTACCACCTCTAATACCACATAACTTACCACCTCTAATACCACATAACCTACCACCTCTAATACCATCTAATACCACATAACCTACCACCTCTAATACCACATAACCTGCCACCTCTAATACCACATAACCTACCACCTCTAATACCACACAACCTACCACCTCTAATACCACATAACCTACCACCTCTAATACCACATAACCTACCACCTCTAATACCACATAACCTACCACCTCTAATACCACATAACTTACCACCTCTAATACCATCTAATACCACATAACCTACCACCTCTAATACCACATAACCTACCACCTCTAATACCATCTAATACCACATAACCTACCACCTCTAATACCACATAACCTACCACCTCTAATACCACATAACCTACCACCTCTAATACCACATAACCTACCACCTCTAATACCACATAACCTACCACCTCTAATACCACATAACTTACCACCTCTAATACCACATAACCTACCACCTCTAATACCACATAACTTACCACCTCTAATACCACATAACCTACCACCTCTAATACCACATAACCTACCACCTCTAATACCACATAACCTGCCACCTCTAATACCACATAACCTACCACCTCTAATACCACATAACTTACCACCTCTAATACCACATAACCTACCACCTCTAATACCACATAACCTACCACCTCTAATACCACATAACCTGCCACCTCTAATACCACATAACCTACTACCTCTAATACCACATAACCTACCACCTCTAATACCACATAACCTACCACCTCTAATACCACATAACCTACCACCTCTAATACCACATAACCTACCACCTCTAATACCACATAACCTACCACCTCTAAAACAACATTCAATCACATTGTTAAGAAACAGAAATAAATCAATCATCATGTCAGATTGGCCCCTCTCCGACCCTTTATCTTCAGTGATAATCAGTAGGTTCAGTAACTGATTAGTCTTCTAACTGTAGTGTACTGTATTCAATGTAATAAGTGACCACGGTGATATTTGCTAATATATTGGCAAGTAATACAGAAAGCACACTGGGGCTAAAAACAAACATGGAATGTTGACTACCTTGAATGTTTCGAAGACATTGTCGACTACTGGCGGTATGCTGATGGACTCCTTGTCGATCTCCTCCTGGACGTCGCGGCTGCGTGCGGCCAGATACAGCGCCACCAGCAACACCTGCAACACACCAACACACGGCTTCATCCACCGAACCACAACTCAAGAATTAAGATATCTGGAATAGTCAACTTATTATATACTGAACAAGACTGACACTTAGGAACGACTCACAACACAGTTGTTAGGGCAGGGAGATTACATTGTTGCCCTCCTGATTAATATTTTTAAATTCCTTGACAGATGTGAAGCCTGGCAGGAATAAGACAATTAAAAGTAGAAACGATCTGGTTCCCAAATGAGTGTTGTTTGTACCAATTGGCTCAATGCATAGAATATTCTCGGACAAATTATATGCTAAAGATGCTAGGGTAAGTATTAATTGTTCCTATCATATGATGAATACTCCACAGACCTTGGTAGGTTCGATGACGAGGGCTGAGCAAATGAATGCTAGGAAGAGAGACAACAGCCACTTGAGTGACACCTCCGACCCAAACTGGTAGCCATACAGCAAGATGATGATGATGGAGACTACGCTGATGAGCAGGCTCAGGCCGTATGCCACGTACACACACCATGATGGCAGCATACACGTGGCCTCATACTCCGTGGTGTGGTTGGTGGAAGAGTAGTAGTTTCCTTCACAGACACAAGTCTCAGTTACATACACAGACACAAGTCTCAGTTACATACACAGACACAAGTCTCAGTTACATTTACAGACACAAGTCTCAGTTACATTCACAGACACAAGTCTCAGTTACATACACAGACACAAGTCTCAGTTACATACACAGACACAAGACTCAGTTACATTCACAGACACAAGTCTCAGTTACATTCACAGACACAAGTCTCAGTTACATTCACAGGCACAAGTCTCCGTTACATACACAGACACAAGACTCAGTTACATTCACAGACACAAGTCTCAGTTACATACACAGACACAAGACTCAGTTACATTCACAGACACAGGTCTTAGTTACATACACAGACACAAGTCTTAGTTACATACACAGACACAAGTCTCAGTTACATACACGGACACAAGTCTCAGTTACATTCACAGACACAAGTCTCAGTTACATTCACAGACACAAGTCTCAGTTTCATACACGGACACAAGTCTCAGTTACATTCACAGACACAAGTCTCAGTTACATTCACAGACACAAGTCTCAGTTACATACAGGGACACAAGTCTCAGTTACATTCACAGACACAAGACTCAGTTACATTCACAGACACAAGTCTCAGTTACATACACAGACACAAGACTCAGTTACATTCACAGACACAGGTCTTAGTTACATACACAGACACAAGTCTTAGTTACATACACAGACACAAGTCTCAGTTACATACACGGACACAAGTCTCAGTTACATTCACAGACACAAGTCTCAGTTACATTCACAGACACAAGTCTCAGTTACATTCACAGACACAAGTCTCAGTTACATACAGGGACACAAGTCTCAGTTACATTCACAGACACAAGTCTCAGTTACATACAGGGACACAAGTCTCAGTTACATTCACAGACACAAGACTCAGTTACATTCACAGACACAAGACTCAGTTACATTCACGGACACAAGTCTTAGTTACATACACAGACACAAGTCTCAGTTACATTCACAGATACAAGTCTTAGTTACATTCACAGACACAAGTCTCAGTTTCATACACGGACACAAGTCTTAGTTACATACAGGGACACAAGTCTCAGTTACATTCACAGACACAAGTCTCAGTTACATTCACAGACACAAGTCTCAGTTACATTCACAGATACAAGTCTCAGTTACATACACAGACACAAGACTCAGTTACATACACAGACACAAGTCTTAGTTACATACACAGACACAAGTCTCAGTTACATTCACAGACACAAGTCTCAGTTACATACACGGACACAAGTCTCAGTTACATTCACAGACACAAGTCTCAGTTACATTCACAGACACAAGTCTCAGTTACATTTACAGACACAAGTCTCAGTTACATTCACAGACACAAGTCTCAGTTACATTCACAGACACAAGTCTCAGTTACATTCACAGACACAAGTCTCAGTTACATTCACAGACACAAGTCTCAGTTACATTTACACACATAAGTCTCAGTTACATACACAGACACAGGTCTTAGTTACATACACAGACACAAGACTCAGTTACATACACAGACACAAGTCTCAGTTACATTCACAGACACAAGTCTCAGTTACATTCACAGACACAAGTCTCAGTTACATTCACAGACACAAGTCTCAGTTACATTCACAGACACAAGTCTCAGTTACATTCACAGATACAAGTCTTAGTTACATTCACAGACACAAGTCTCAGTTTCATACACGGACACAAGTCTTAGTTACATACACAGACAGAAGTCTCAGTTACATTCACAGATACAAGTCTTAGTTACATTCACAGACACAAGTCTCAGTTTCATACACGGACACAAGTCTTAGTTACATACAGGGACACAAGTCTCAGTTACATTCACAGACACAAGTCTCAGTTACATTCACAGACACAAGTCTCAGTTACATTCACAGACACAAGTCTCAGTTTCATACACGGACACAAGTATTAGTTACATTCACAGACACAAGTCTCAGTTACATTCACAGACACAAGTCTCAGTTACATTCACAGACACAAGTCTTAGTTACATTCACAGACACAAGTCTCAGTTACATTCACAGACACAAGTCTCAGTTTCATACACAGACACAAGTCTCTGTTACATTCACAGACACAAGACTCAGTTACATTCACAGACACAAGTCTCAGTTACATTCACAGACACAAGTCTCAGTTACATTCACAGACACAAGTCTCAGTTTCATACACGGACACAAGTCTTAGTTACATTCACAGACACAAGTCTCAGTTACATTCACAGACACAAGTCTCAGTTACATACACAGACACAAGTCTTAGTTACATACACAGACAGAAGTCTTAGTTACATTCACAGACACAAGTCTCAGTTACATTCACAGACACAAGTCTCAGTTACATTCACAGACACAAGTCTCAGTTTCATACACGGACACAAGTCTTAGTTACATACAGGGACACAAGTCTTAGTTACATACACAGACACAAGTCTCAGTTACATTCACAGACACAAGTCTTAGTTACATACACAGACACAAGTCTCAGTTACATACACGGACACAAGTCTTAGTTACATTCACAGACACAAGTCTCAGTTTCATACACGGACACAAGTCTTAGTTACATACACAGACAGAAGTCTCAGTTACATTCACAGACACAAGTCTTAGTTACATACACAGACAGAAGTCTCAGTTACATTCACAGACACAAGTCTTAGTTACATACACAGACACAAGTCTCAGTTACATACACAGACACAAGACTCAGTTACATTCACAGTCACAAGTCTTAGTTACATACACAGACACAAGTCTCAGTAACATACACAGACACAAGTCTCAGTTACATTCACAGACACAAGTCTCAGTTACATTCACAGACACAAGTCTCAGTTACATTCACAGACACAAGTCTCAGTTACATACACAGACACAGGTCTCAGTTACATACACAGACACAAGTCTCAGTTACATACACAGACACAAGTCTCAGTTACATACACAGACACAGGTCTCAGTTACATACACGGACACAAGTCTTAGTTACATACACAGACAGAAGTCTCAGTTACATTCACAGACACAAGTCTTAGTTACATACAAAGACACAAGTCTCAGTTACATTCACAGGCACAAGTCTCAGTTACATAAAAACAAAAGTCTGAGATACTGGCATTGTCTTAGTCAGAAATACTGCCACAGACATAAGGCATAGTTACAGACACATGTCCGAGATACAGACATAAGGCATAGTTACAGACACATGTCCGAGATACAGACACAAGGCATAGTTACAGACACATGTCCGAGATACAGACATAAGGCATAGTTACAGACACATGTCCGAGATACAGACATAAGGCATAGTTACAGACACATGTCCGTGATACAGACACAAGGCATAGTTACAGACACAAAAGCGTCCAAGATACAGCCACAGACATCAGTAAGAGATACTAGCATACTTTAAGTCCGAGATACAGGTGCGAAACCTTTTGTGATAGTTTTTCAAGTTGAAATGTTGGTTAAGAAAATTGATACCAGCTGGTAGAAAAGACTGGCCAAACCTGTCATTTTGTGTTTTCAGCATATACAGCCAGCACTCAGAATCATTCATATCATTCACCAATATTGTCAAAACATTTGATCAAGCAAGTTTACAGAGCACACTTACTCTTCCAGATGGCAGACATGTTGCTCTTGGACTTCTCTGACATGATGCTTGGCTGTTTCATAAACGAGATCTCCTTCATGCTGCTTCCGGCGCTGTAGGCTCGTCCGTACGAGTCTCGCTTCTTGAGAATACTGGAGGTGGTGCTGGTCTTCCTGGAGGAGAGAAACAAGAAGCATCTGAAGAACACAGAACACAGATGTTTCTAGTTACCACTCCCACCGTAGAAGAATCCTTAATTAATCTGGCTTCATGACAATGAGAGGCTAACATTACTTGTGTTATTTGATGATCAGTGGTAACCATATTGTTTTGTGACTAGAGCCAATGAGCCATAGACTTCTGACTTTTCTCAATATTGATGTTAACATGTCTCGCATGGCTAGGCTACCAACATTTAATACAGAAGTTAAACTAGAAACTAAATTCTTGGTTGTCAAGGTCTCATGCATAAGTGAAACATCCTACATGTGTCATAGTGCTTTCAGAAAAGATGCTAATCCACAACCAAGATACGGCACTTTTTCAATTTAGCAAAAGGGCAAATGTTTTCATTTTTCATCCTGACCTTTCAGGTAATTCCTTCTTGGCATCTTCTTTGGAGTTGGTCTGTTTCCCAGGTGGCAGCGGCTGACCCTTGACCTGTACGTTCTGCTTGCTTGCCTTCCCTTCCTTCCCTCCTTCATCATCCGTGGATGCGTCGTCCAGATGGAAGGATGTTTTCCTGCAGACAAAACCTGGCATCAATTGTCAGTAAAATCTGATCTACTACTTGGTGGTGAGGTACCGATCTGCACCACTGAACGTGTGTACCACCATGATACATAGCCTAAACATCAATGATACAGAGATAGTTTGTGATACAGTCAAAACTTATCGATCAATTCTCCCTTACCTCCATCAGATGACTTCATGATCTCAACAGAATCCAAATTGGTGCTTGGTTTGATATGGATACTCATCTAACCTCGAAATATGGATACCTTGATCTATTTCAATGTTCGTGATGAACAAATTCAAAAACCATTGAACACAAACTAAAGTAAGAAATGACAGTTACCAGTACTCCCAAAGTTAAAAGGAAATTTCATCCCCCATGCATATACAGTTAAATTCCCCAGTAGGGCTGGGACGAGTCAAATTTACTACCCGGGTACCCCCCCCCCTATTACCCGACCCTACCAGGGTAACCACTGTAGGTCTCAAGAGATAGGTACAAAATGTCCGATTGGGAATTTTATTACCATAGCCCTGGCAAACGTATTTAAATACATGTATTAAACAATCTGGTCATGCATACACTGAAGTTGACTTAAGTCGTATCTTTATTCAACCATATGAAAAGTCAGAATGAATGGGTGCATAGTCAGAAGGAATGTGAACATAAGTGACTTGTAGTACAACCATAGAGTTCTAGATAATTTTTGTCATTAAAAGATATATCACGTGACTAACCACGGGTCCGGGTAGTCAATTGGGTACCCGGATCCTACTCAGTACCCAGCCGACCTGGGTACCCGAGTCACCCGTCCGTGCCCTATTCCCCAGTTACATTGACCTTCACCTTGCTCTCCTGAGTTTGGGATCTTCTCTGGGGTTGAATCTGGGTTGTGCTGTGGCACCGGCAGCACGGGCTGGGGTCTTAGTGAAGGTCTTCTTGCCGGCTGACTTCCCTCCCTTGCCATCCTCCAGACCCTCTGTGGCCCACTCTTCATCGGAGCAGAACAGGTCATCTGCCACCTTGTTTGTCGTCTTGCCACTGCTGTCAATGTTCATCATGTTTTTAACCTCAGCCTGCTATTTCTTCTTATTAGTGTTTACATTTGTAATCTGTACATGCCTCTTTATTTGAGGTGTGGTACCAAAGGGCTGAATTTATGAAATTAGGTAATGAAAAATGAAACTTATTCATAATTTCTTTTGGAAACTTATTATCTAGGAGGCTCTCTCAATGGTGGTAACATATTCATAGCATAATGATGTATTCAAATCAGCAGTGGTTTGTCCCCATGTCCAAAAGATGAAGTAAGGGCCATAACTCTTGATGCTGGTTATCATCCCTTAATGATGTATGCAAAATGTTATTCTTGTATCCATTGTTGTTTCCAAGAAAATGTGGTCCTGTTTGGGCTCTGTGTAACTCCGTGGTTGGTGTAAAACTTGATATACATGTGTATCTTGTAATGTTGTCATCATTGTATCTACAGTGGTTTTCCAAGAAAACTTGCCCTCATTGAATGTTGTTTGCACCACGTCCAAAAGATAAAAAAACTAGCCATAACTCTGCCAAAAATAATTTTCCACGCTGGTGTTCAAACTGGACTAACATATATATCACAAAATTATCTTTGTAAAATTCATCCATAGCAGTTTCTGAAAAGACGTATCCCCATTGTAATGAAATGAACGGAAGAACAGACGGACAGAGCCCAAGCCTATATCCTCTTCCCAATGGGGGAAAGTATGTCAGTGTGGGTACATCTTCCCGAGGCAAGAGAGTTAACTGACTTTACAAGTCCAGTTTCCACCCTTGCCAAACTTGGCTGGAATTCCTGGGCTCGATTGTAGCGCCACCAGTGGCTATTACCAGTTATGACCCTTCTATGCCTCTCCTATGGACCAATCAGATTCCACCTCTCGTATCACTTGCATTTGCTTTAAATAAAATCGCGGCGCCCGGTCAAGATCGATAATCAAGATCTATATTGAGATCAAATTGGTCTTACATCGCTAAGTGAATCAAATCATGTGAGCACCTTGAGTAAAAACATGAACAGATTCTGAAAATATCCTTTGACAACGAGTTGGCGGTGCACATGCTTTGTAAATCGTGCAATCGATCGAAATCTGCATGACAGTTGCGCGATTGTGATTGGACTATGCATTGACTCGTTAGTCCAGGCAAAATCTAACTCCATAATACAAGCCTAGTTCGGCAAGGGTTTGAAACTGGACTTTTACAGTCAGTTAACTCACTTGCCTAGGGAAGATGGTGTGGGTAGAGAACAGCACAAACCTATATCCTCTTCCTAATGGGGGAAAGTATGTCAGTGTGGGTAGAGAACAGCCCAAGCCTATATCCTCTTCCTAATGGGGGAAAGTATGTCAGTGTGGGTAGAGAACAACCCAAGCCTATATCCTCTTCCTAATGGGGGAAAGTATGTCAGTGTGGGTAGAGAACAGCCCAAGCCTATATCCTCTTCCTAATGGGGGAAAGTATGTCAGTGTGGGTAGAGAACAGCCCAAATCTATATCCTCTTCCTAATCGGGGAAAGTATGTCAGTGTGGGTAGAGAACAGCCCAAGCCTATATCCTCTTCCTAATGGGGGAAAGTATGTCAGTGTGGGTAGAGAACAGCCCAAATCTATATCCTCTTCCTAATCGGGGAAAGTATGTCAGTGTGGGTAGAGAACAGCACAAGCCTATATCCTCTTCCTAATGGGGGAAAGTATGTCAGTGTGGGTAGAGAACAGCCCAAATCTATATCCTCTTCCTAATGGGGGAAAGTATGTCAGTGTGGGTAGAGAACAGTCCAAATCTATATCCTCTTCCTAATGGGGGAAAGTATGTCAGTGTGGGTAGAGAACAGCCCAAGCCTATATCCTCTTCCTAATGGGGGAAAGTATGTCAGTGTGGGTAGAGAACAGTCCACATCTATATCCTCTTCCTAATGGGGGAAAGTATGTCAGTGTGGGTAGAGAACAGCCAAAATCTATATCCTCTTCCTAATGGGGGAAAGTATGTCAGTGTGGGTAGAGAACAGTCCACATCTATATCCTCTTCCTAATGGGGGAAAGTATGTCAGTGTGGGTAGAGAACAGCCCAAGCCTATATCCTCTTCCTAATGGGGGAAAGTATGTCAGTGTGGGTAGAGAACAGCCCAAGTCTATATCCTCTTCCTAATGGGGGAAAGTATGTCAGTGTGGGTAGAGAACAACCCAAGCCTATATCCTCTTCCTAATGGGGGAAAGTATGTCAGTGTGGGTAGAGAACAGTCCACATCTATATCCTCTTCCTAATGGGGGAAAGTATGTTAGTGTGGGTAGAGAACAACCCAAGCCTATATCCTCTTCCTAATGGGGGAAAGTATGTCAGTGTGGGTAGAGAACAGCCCAAATCTATATCCTCTTCCTAATGGGGGAAAGTATGTCAGTTTGGGTAGAGAACAGCCCAAGCCTATATCCTCTTCCTAATGGGGGAAAGTATGTCAGTGTGGGTAGAGAACAGCCCAAATCTATATCCTCTTCCTAATGGGGGAAAGTATGTCAGTGTGGGTAGAGAATAGCCCAAGCCTATATCCTCTTCCTAATGGGGGAAAGTATGTCAGTGTGGGTAGAGAACAACCCAAATCTATATCCTCTTCCTAATGGGGGAAAGTATGTCAGTGTGGGTAGAGAACAGCCCAAATCTATATCCTCTTCCTAATGGGGGAAAGTATGTCAGTGTGGGTAGAGAACAGCCCAAGCCTTTATCCTCTTCCTAATCGGGGAAAGTATGTCAGTGTGGGTAGAGAACAGCCCAAGACTATATCCTCTTCCTAATGGGGGAAAGTATGTCAGTGTGGGTAGAGAACAGCCCAAATCTATATCCTCTTCCTAATGGGGGAAAGTATGTCAGTGTGGGTAGAGAACAGCACAAGCCTATATCCTCTTCCTAATGGGGGAAAGTATGTCAGTGTGGGTAGAGAACAGCCCAAATCTATATCCTCTTCCTAATGGGGGAAAGTATGTCAGTGTGGGTAGAGAACAGTCCAAATCTATATCCTCTTCCTAATGGGGGAAAGTATGTCAGTGTGGGTAGAGAACAGCCCAAGACTATATCCTCTTCCTAATGGGGGAAAGTATGTCAGTGTGGGTAGAGAACAGCCCAAGCCTATATCCTCTTCCTAATGGGGGAAAGTATGTCAGTGTGGGTAGAGAACAGTCCACATCTATATCCTCTTCCTAATGGGGGAAAGTATGTCAGTGTGGGTAGAGAACAGCCCAAATCTATATCCTCTTCCTAATCGGGGAAAGTATGTCAGTGTGGGTAGAGAACAGCCCAAGCCTATATCCTCTTCCTAATGGGGGAAAGTATGTCAGTGTGGGTAGAGAACAGCCCAAATCTATATCCTCTTCCTAATGGGGGAAAGTATGTCAGTGTGGGTAGAGAACAGCCCAAGCCTATATCCTCTTCCTAATGGGGGAAAGTATGTCAGTGTGGGTAGAGAACAGCCCAAGCCTATATCCTCTTCCTAATGGGGGAAAGTATGTCAGTGTGGGTAGAGAACAGTCCACATCTATATCCTCTCCCTAATGGGGGAAAGTATGTCAGTGTGGGTAGAGAACAGCCCAAATCTATATCCTCTTCCTAATGGGGGAAAGTATGTCAGTGTGGGTAGAGAACAGCCCAAGCCTATATCCTCCTCCTTATGGGGGAAAGTATGTCAGTGTGGGTAGAGAACAACCCAAGCCTATATCCTCTTCCTAATGGGGGAAAGTATGTCAGTGTGGGTAGAGAACAGTCCACATCTATATCCTCTTCCTAATGGGGGAAAGTATGTCAGTGTGGGTAGAGAACAACCCAAGCCTATATCCTCTTCCTAATGGGGGAAAGTATGTCAGTGTGGGTAGAGAACAGCCCAAATCTATATCCTCTTCCTAATGGGGGAAAGTATGTCAGTGTGGGTAGAGAACAGCCCAAGCCTATATCCTCTTCCTAATGGGGGAAAGTATGTCAGTGTGGGCAGAGAACAGCCCAAATCTATATCCTCTTCCTAATCGGGGAAAGTATGTCAGTGTTGGTAGAGAACAGCCCAAGCCTATATCCTCTTCCTAATGGGGGAAAGTATGTCAGTGTGGGTAGAGAACAGCCCAAATCTATATCCTCTTCCTAATGGGGGAAAGTATGTCAGTGTGGGTAGAGAACAGCCCAAATCTATATCCTCTTCCTAATGGGGGAAAGTATGTCAGTGTGGGTAGAGAACAGTCCACATCTATATCCTCTTCCTAATGGGGGAAAGTATGTCAGTGTGGGTAGAGAACAGCCCAAGCCTATATCCTCTTCCTAATTGGGGAAAGTATGTCAGTGTGGGTAGAGAACAGCCCAAATCTATATCCTCTTCCTAATGGGGGAAAGTATGTCAGTGTGGGTAGAGAACAGCCCAAATCTATATCCTCTTCCTAATGGGGGAAAGTATGTCAGTGTGGGTAGAGAACAGCCCAAATCTATATCCTCTTCCTAATGGAGGAAAGTATGTCAGTGTGGGTAGAGAACAGCCCAAATCTATATCCTCTTCCTAATGGGGGAAAGTATGTCAGTGTGGGTAGAGAACAGCCCAAATCTATATCCTCTTCCTAATGGGGGAAAGTATGTCAGTGTGGGTAGAGAACAACCCAAGCCTATATCCTCTTCCTAATGGGGGAAAGTATGTCAGTGTGGGTAGAGAACAGCCCAAGCCTATATCCTCTTCCTAATTGGGGAAAGTATGTCAGTGTGGGTAGAGAACAGCCCAAATCTATATCCTCTTCCTAATGGGGGAAAGTATGTCAGTGTGGGTAGAGAACAGCCCAAGCCTATATCCTCTTCCTAATGGGGGAAAGTATGTCAGTGTGGGTAGAGAACAGCCCAAGCCTATATCCTCTTCCTAATGGGGGAAAGTATGTCAGTGTGGGTAGAGAACAGCCCAAATCTATATCCCCTTTCTAATGGGGGAAAGTATGTCAGTGTGGGTAGAGAACAGCCCAAGCCTATATCCTCTTCCTAATGGGGGAAAGTATGTCAGTGTGGGTAGAGAACAGCCCAAGCCTATATCCTCTTCCTAATGGGGGAAAGTATGTCAGTGTGGGTAGAGAACAACCCAAGCCTATATCCTCTTCCTAATGGGGGAAAGTATGTCAGTGTGGGTAGAGAACAGTCCACATCTATATCCTCTTCCTAATGGGGGAAAGTATGTCAGTGTGGGTAGAGAACAGCCCAAATCTATATCCTCTTCCTAATGGGGGAAAGTATGTCAATGTGGGTAGAGAACAACCCAAGCCTATATCCTCTTCCTAAAGGGGGAAAGTATGTCAGTGTGGGTAGAGAACAGCCCAAATCTATATCCTCTTCCTAATGGGGGAAAGTATGTCAGTGTGGGTAGAGAACAGCCCAAGCCTATATCCTCTTCCTAATGGGGGAAAGTATGTCAGTGTGGGTAGAGAACAACCCAAGCCTATATCCTCTTCCTAATGGGGGAAAGTATGTCAGTGTGGGTAGAGAACAGTCCAAATCTATATCCTCTTCCTAATGGGGGAAAGTATGTCAGTGTGGGTAGAGAACAGCCCAAGCCTATATCCTCTTCCTAATGGGGGAAAGTATGTCAGTGTGGGTAGAGAACAGTCCACATCTATATCCTCTTCCTAATGGGGTAAAGTATGTCAGTGTGGGTAGAGAACAGCCCAAATCTATATCCTCTTGCTAATGGGGGAAAGTATGTCAGTGTGGGTAGAGAACAACCCAAGCCTTAATCCTCTTCCTAATGGAGGAAAGTATGTCAGTGTGGGTAGAGAACAGTCCACATCTATATCCTCTTCCTAATGGGGGAAAGTATGTCAGTGTGGGTAGAGAACAACCCAAGCCTATATCCTCTTCCTAATGGGGGAAAGTATGTCAGTGTGGGTAGAGAACAGTCCACATCTATATCCTCTTCCTAATGGGGGAAAGTATGTCAGTGTGGGTAGAGAACAGCCCAAATCTATATCCTCTTCCTAATGGGGGAAAGTATGTCAGTGTGGGTAGAGAACAGTCCACATCTATATCCTCTTCCTAATGGGGGAAAGTATGTCAGTGTGGGTAGAGAACAACCCAAGCCTATATCCTCTTCCTAATGGGGGAAAGTATGTCAGTGTGGGTAGAGAACAGTCCACATCTATATCCTCTTCCTAATTGGGGAAAGTATGTCAGTGTGGGTAGAGAACAACCCAAGCCTATATCCTCTTCCTAATGGGGGAAAGTATGTCAGTGTGGGTAGAGAACAGTCCACATCTATATCCTCTTCCTAATGGGGGAAAGTATGTCAGTGTGGGTAGAGAACAGCCCAAGCCTATATCCTCTTCCTAATGGGGGAAAGTATGTCAGTGTGGGTAGAGAACAGTCCACATCTATATCCTCTTCCTAATGGGGGAAAGTATGTCAGTGTGGGTAGAGAACAGCCCAAGCCTATATCCTCTTCCTAATGGGGGAAAGTATGTCAGTGTGGGTAGAGAAGTTTCCCTTTAACCTTTTTTTTGAAGATCTTGTTCTGTTTAAAACATATTTGTCAAAGTTTCCTTCAACTAGTGACAAGAAGTATGACTGGGTAGTGATGATGACATCAGTTTTCTTACCCTTTCTTTGTCGTGGCCATCTTGGCCCTCTTCTTCTTCTTGTGGGCCTCCTCCTGAGTGAGATCCTCGTGCAGTTGGTCCAGCTCCTTGATGAACTCCTCGTCACTGTCCTGGGGCGCCGACTGCAAGATGGAGGAGCACAGAGGGGGGTGTAGGAGTGTAGGGCTTAGGACATTATACAGCATAAGGCGGAGGCCATATCGCCAACAGGCATGGCAGAGATGTCTGCTGGTATGGTTCTGTGTTCTCTGAACAACTCGAACAAATTTTAAGTTAGTCTACAGCACATATGAAGCAATAACGTCGAAAGTCCAATATATAGCGTGATACCATACAAAACCTGTGAGTTATTGCTCTTTATGTCTCCACAGTAACGTGTGAATTTGGTGTGGTAGTTTACATCTGCACACAATCTGCAATAACATGCACACTAACCAACTTCTTTCGTTATTTGGACAGTTAGATTAAATTACAAAGATCTTAGAAATCCTTTTCTTAGTTAAGTACACTGAAAACTGCCAGGGGACTTCCTTAAAGAGCTGACGTTGTTTGGTGACATGGCTTTACATGTTAGACCTTTGGATTTCATGGCCCTTCAGAACGTGCGCTTCAGCAAGACACCCCACATACAATGTGTGAAGTTCACATTCCATGTAGCTTTTTTTAAAAACAAAAACGATTTCTAAAACCACTGTAACACTGATTTATGTTACCCAAGAAACTTGTGTCATTAATGAAGACAGATGTGATGCAGACCAACCTTGGCTGACTTTGGTTTTCCCCTACTTGAAGTGGATGCAGTAGCTGATGTTGTCTTTTTGACTTCTCCCCGTGTTGTCCCTGCTGTTGATGCCCGGTCCTCCTTCCAGGATGGCGTCTTGTCTGCTGCCCAGTTGAGGATGTTGAGGGGGTCCCACATCCGGGAAATGGACATGTTGGACTGGAGGGAAACAGGACACATGTACACAGTATGGTAAGGAATACATGCACGTAGGAACGTGGACATGTTGGACTGGAGAGTGACATGACACATGTACACAGTATGGTAAGGAATACATGCACGTAGGAACATGGACATGTGGGACTGGAGGGGAACAGGACACATGTACACAGTATGGTAAGGAATACATGCACGTAGGAACATGGACATGTTGGACTGGAGGGGAACAGGACACATGTACACCGTATGGTAAGGAATACATGCACGTAGGAACATGGACATGTGGGACTGGAGGGGAACAGGACACATGTACACAGTGTGGTAAGGAATACATGCACGTAGGAACATGGACATGTGGGACTGGAGAGTAACAGGACACATGTACTCAGTATGGTAAGGAATACATGCACGTAGGAACATGGACATGTTGGACTGGAGGGGAACAGGACACATGTACTCAGTATGGTAAGGAATACATGCACGTAGGAACATGGACATGTTGGACTGGAGGGAAACAGGACACATGTACCCCGTATGGTAAGGAATACATGCACGTAGGAACATGGACATGTTGGACTGGAAGGGAACAGGACACATGTACACAGTATGGTAAGGAATACATGCACGTAGGAACATGGACATGTTGGACTGGAGGGGAACAGGACACATGTACACAGTATGGTAAGGAATACATGCACGTAGGAACATGGACATGTTGGACTGGAGGGGAACAGGACACATGTACACAGTATGGTAAGGAATACATGCACGTAGGAACATGGACATGTTGGACTGGACGGGAACAGGACACATGTACACAGTATGGTAAGGAATACATGCACGTAGGAACATGGACATGTTGGACTGGAGGGGAACAGGACACATGTACACAGTATGGTAAGGAATACATGCACGTAGGAACATGGACATGTTGGACTGGAGGGGAACAGGACACATGTACACAGTATGGTAAGGAATACATGCACGTAGGAACATGGACATGTTGGACTGGAGGGGAACAGGACACATGTACACAGTGTGGTAAGGAATACATGCACGTAGGAACGTGGACATGTTGGACTGGAGGGGAACAGGACACATGTACACAGTATGGTAAGGAATACATGCACGTAGGAACATGGACATGTTGGACTGGAGGGAAACAGGACACATGTACACAGTATGGTAAGGAATACATGCACGTAGGAACATGGACATGTTGGACTGGAGGGAACAGGACACATGTACACAGTATGGTAAGGAATACATGCACGTAGGAACATGGACATGTTGGACTGGAGGGGAACAGGACACATGTACACAGTATGGTAAGGAATACATGCACGTAGGAACATGGACATGTTGGACTGGAGGGGAACAGGACACATGTACACAGTATGGTAAGGAATACATGCACGTAGGAACATGGACATGTTGGACTGGAGGGGAACAGGACACATGTACACAGTATGGTAAGGAATACATGCACGTAGGAACATGGACATGTTGGACTGGAGGGGAACAGGACACATGTACACAGTATGGTAAGGAATACATGCACGTAGGAACATGGACATGTTGGACTGGAGGGGAACAGGACACATGTACACAGTGTGGTAAGGAATACATGCATGAAGGAACATGGACATGTTGGACTGGAGGGAACAGGACACATGTACACAGTATGGTAAGGAATACATGCACGTAGGAACATGGACATGTTGGACTGGAGGGGAACAGGACACATGTACACAGTGTGGTAAGGAATACATGCATGAAGGAACATGGACATGTTGGACTGGAGGGAACAGGACACATGTACACAGTATGGTAAGGAATACATGCACGTAGGAACATGGACATGTTGGACTGGAGGGAACAGGACACATGTACACAGTATGGTAAGGAATACATGCACGTAGGAACATGGACATGTTAGACTGGAGGGGAACAGGACACATGTACACAGTGTGGTAAGGAATACATGCACGTAGGAACATGGACATGTTGGACTGGAGGGGAACAGGACACATGTACACAGTGTGGTAAGGAATACATGCACGTAGGAACATGGACATGTTGGACTGGAGGGGAACAGGACACATGTACACAGTGTGGTAAGGAATACATGCACGTAGGAACATGGACATGTTGGACTGGAGGGGAACAGGACACATGTACACAGTATGGTAAGCAATACATGCACGTAAGAACATGGACATGTTGGACTGGAGGGAACAGGACACATGTACACAGTATGGTAAGGAATACATGCACGTAGGAACATGGACATGTTGGACTGGAGGGGAACAGGACACATGTACACAGTATGGTAAGGAATACATGCACGTAGGAACATGGACATGTTGGACTGGAGGGGAACAGGACACATGTACACAGTATGGTAAGGAATACATGCACGTAGGAACATGGACATGTTGGACTGGAGGGGAACAGGACACATGTACACAGTGTGGTAAGGAATACATGCACGTAGGAACGTGGACATGTTGGACTGGAGGGGAACAGGACACATGTACACAGTATGGTAAGGAATACATGCACGTAGGAACATGGACATGTTGGACTGGAGGGAAACAGGACACATGTACACAGTGTGGTAAGGAATACATGCACGTAGGAACATGGACATGTTGGACTGGAGGGGAACAGGACACATGTACACAGTATGGTAAGGAATACATGCACGTAGGAACATGGACATGTTGGACTGGACGGGAACAGGACACATGTACACAGTATGGTAAGGAATACATGCACGTAGGAACATGGACATGTTGGACTGGAGGGGAACAGGACACATGTACACAGTATGGTAAGGAATACATGCACGTAGGAACATGGACATGTTGGACTGGAGGGGAACAGGACACATGTACACAGTATGGTAAGGAATACATGCACGTAGGAACATGGACATGTTGGACTGGAGGGGAACAGGACACATGTACACAGTGTGGTAAGGAATACATGCACGTAGGAACGTGGACATGTTGGACTGGAGGGGAACAGGACACATGTACACAGTATGGTAAGGAATACATGCACGTAGGAACATGGACATGTTGGACTGGAGGGAAACAGGACACATGTACACAGTATGGTAAGGAATACATGCACGTAGGAACATGGACATGTTGGACTGGAGGGAACAGGACACATGTACACAGTATGGTAAGGAATACATGCACGTAGGAACATGGACATGTTGGACTGGAGGGGAACAGGACACATGTACACAGTATGGTAAGGAATACATGCACGTAGGAACATGGACATGTTGGACTGGAGGGGAACAGGACACATGTACACAGTATGGTAAGGAATACATGCACGTAGGAACATGGACATGTTGGACTGGAGGGGAACAGGACACATGTACACAGTATGGTAAGGAATACATGCACGTAGGAACATGGACATGTTGGACTGGAGGGGAACAGGACACATGTACACAGTATGGTAAGGAATACATGCACGTAGGAACATGGACATGTTGGACTGGAGGGGAACAGGACACATGTACACAGTGTGGTAAGGAATACATGCATGAAGGAACATGGACATGTTGGACTGGAGGGAACAGGACACATGTACACAGTATGGTAAGGAATACATGCACGTAGGAACATGGACATGTTGGACTGGAGGGGAACAGGACACATGTACACAGTGTGGTAAGGAATACATGCATGAAGGAACATGGACATGTTGGACTGGAGGGAACAGGACACATGTACACAGTATGGTAAGGAATACATGCACGTAGGAACATGGACATGTTGGACTGGAGGGAACAGGACACATGTACACAGTATGGTAAGGAATACATGCACGTAGGAACATGGACATGTTAGACTGGAGGGGAACAGGACACATGTACACAGTGTGGTAAGGAATACATGCACGTAGGAACATGGACATGTTGGACTGGAGGGGAACAGGACACATGTACACAGTGTGGTAAGGAATACATGCACGTAGGAACATGGACATGTTGGACTGGAGGGGAACAGGACACATGTACACAGTGTGGTAAGGAATACATGCACGTAGGAACATGGACATGTTGGACTGGAGGGGAACAGGACACATGTACACAGTATGGTAAGGAATACATGCACGTAAGAACATGGACATGTTGGACTGGAGGGAACAGGACACATGTACACAGTATGGTAAGGAATACATGCACGTAGGAACATGGACATGTTGGACTGGAGGGGAACAGGACACATGTACACAGTATGGTAAGGAATACATGCACGTAGGAACATGGACATGTTGGACTGGAGGGGAACAGGACACATGTACACAGTATGGTAAGGAATACATGCACGTAGGAACATGGACATGTTGGACTGGAGGGGAACAGGACACATGTACACAGTGTGGTAAGGAATACATGCACGTAGGAACGTGGACATGTTGGACTGGAGGGGAACAGGACACATGTACACAGTATGGTAAGGAATACATGCACGTAGGAACGTGGACATGTTGGACTGGAGGGGAACAGGACACATGTACACAGTATGGTAAGGAATACATGCACGTAGGAACATGGACATGTTGGACTGGAGGGAAACAGGACACATGTACACAGTGTGGTAAGGAATACATGCACGTAGGAACATGGACATGTTGGACTGGAGGGGAACAGGACACATGTACACAGTATGGTAAGGAATACATGCACGTAGGAACATGGACATGTTGGACTGGAGGGGAACAGGACACATGTACACAGTGTGGTAAGGAATACATGCATGAAGGAACATGGACATGTTGGACTGGAGGGAACAGGACACATGTACACAGTATGGTAAGGAATACATGCACGTAGGAACATGGACATGTTGGACTGGAGAGTGACATGACACATGTACACAGTATGGTAAGGAATACATGCACGTAGGAACATGGACATGTTGGACTGGAGGGGAACAGGACACATGTACACAGTGTGGTAAGGAATACATGCACGTAGGAACATGGACATGTTGGACTGGAGGGGAACAGGACACATGTACACAGTGTGGTAAGGAATACATGCACGTAGGAACATGGACATGTTGGACTGGAGGGGAACAGGACACATGTACACAGTGTGGTAAGGAATACATGCACGTAGGAACATGGACATGTTGGACTGGAGGGGAACAGGACACATGTACACAGTATGGTAAGGAATACATGCACGTAAGAACATGGACATGTTGGACTGGAGGGAACAGGACACATGTACACAGTATGGTAAGGAATACATGCACGTAGGAACATGGACATGTTGGACTGGAGGGGAACAGGACACATGTACACAGTATGGTAAGGAATACATGCACGTAGGAACATGGACATGTTGGACTGGAGGGGAACAGGACACATGTACACAGTATGGTAAGGAATACATGCACGTAGGAACATGGACATGTTGGACTGGAGGGGAACAGGACACATGTACACAGTATGGTAAGGAATACATGCACGTAGGAACATGGACATGTTGGACTGGAGGGGAACAGGACACATGTACACAGTATGGTAAGGAATACATGCACGTAGGAACATGGACATGTTGGACTGGAGGGGAACAGGACACATGTACACAGTATGGTAAGGAATACATGCACGTAGGAACATGGACATGTTGGACTGGAGGGGAACAGGACACATGTACACAGTATGGTAAGGAATACATGCACGTAGGAACATGGACATGTTGGACTGGAGGGGAACAGGACACATGTACACAGTGTGGTAAGGAATACATGCACGTAGGAACATGGACATGTTGGACTGGAGGGGAACAGGACACATGTACACAGTATGGTAAGGAATACATGCATGAAGGAACATGGACATGTTGGACTGGAGGGAACAGGACACATGTACACAGTATGGTAAGGAATACATGCACGTAGGAACATGGACCTGTTGGACTGGAGGGGAACAGGACACATGTACACAGTATGGTAAGGAATACATGCACGTAGGAACATGGACATGTGGGACTGGAGGGGAACAGGACACATGTACACAGTATGGTAAGGAATACATGCACGTAGGAACATGGACATGTTGGACTGGAGGGGAACAGGACACATGTACACAGTATGGTAAGGAATACATGCACGTAGGAACATGGACATGTTGGACTGGAGGGGAACAGGACACATGTACACAGTATGGTAAGGAATACATGGGTTCTGATTGAGAACATGAGAGCAAGTTTCAATCGGACTGTCCAGTTCTAATTGTTGCTGATTGAACATATCTGCTTTCTTGGATTAAAGCAATTGAGAGACAAACAACACACCATTACCACAGTTGACTGACAACTGATATCTCCCAGTGTAATATATATTGTAGAGTGAGTACAGTGACTTGAACAGGCTAAAGTTTGTTGTGGATTTTACTGTACAGAAATTATCAAATTGTCAAATTGAGAGGCAACAGAGAGTTTGTAGAAATCACTTATGAGTAGAATATGAAGTAGGAACCTATCTTTGACAGTTATTGTAGTATATGAAGTAAGAACCTATCTTTGACAGTTATTGTAGAATATGAAGTAGGAACCTATCTTTGACAGTTATTGTAGAATATGAAGTAGGAACCTATCTTTGACAGTTATTGTAGAATATGAAGTAGGAACCTATCTTTGACAGTTATTGTCTGGACTCAAGAGACAAAAAGATAATGACTGACAGGTCAAGGTTAGCTGTGCCTATCCAGGTGAAGACAATAAAACCTATTGTCAAATGACACCCTCCTCATCCCAAGAACTCACTGCCTCACCAAGCTAATGTTGAGATCATACTGACCAAACATGATTTGAGAATTTGAAACCCAGGAATGTTGGGAAGCACCAGCAAACTCAAATAAAGGTTAAGGTAAATATAAAGATCATTATCAATTTGAATTTAGGCTTGCATGACAATGGCAGAAATTCTGCCACTTGCCTTGTGAAATCCCAATCCTACTGTAATGTGTGTAGATGTGTGTACATTTCTCACCTTCCCCGGACCGGGCAGCTTACTGGGCTCATGTCCACTCAGAATGCTCCCCTCCTCACTGAGAGCCACGTGCATGTTGAATTCAGTCCGTGTCCGCTTCAAGCCGGTACCCTTGTAATCAATTACATTGTTTATAAGCCAATAGGGTTGCCACACATAACTTGAAGTGAAACAAACCAACATCTACTTTCAACATACTAAAAGTTTATAAATTAATTAATACAATACCCACACTTTACCTTATTTTCAAACTGATTTTCACACAACAGAAACATCTGAAATCACCTAATTAATTATTGGAATATTAAAAACCTGAAATATCTCAACATTTATCTTTGTTAAGAAATCATCCAAGTGCAGGGTTAAACTTGACCCTACCAGTTGTAGTTGTAAGTAAAGTAATCACACTTGAGAATTTGTCAGGTTAGAAACAGCAGCAGCCTTTTAAACTTGTTTTTAACTTGTTTCTAGACACCTATCTAAGCAGCAGTTCATTCAATGCAATATCATTTTCAGTTTTGTGTTTTCTTCTTAAGAAAAACTACAAGTTCAATGTCACGAGTTTCTGTATTCTACACATAGAATGCATTTCAAAGACATTATCTGAGTATTCATTTTCAACAAACCATGTTTGTAGTACCAGTGTCAGCATGTTTTGTCTTTGTCACTTGGTGTTGTTCGTGCAAAACTCACCACGTTGTTAACTCGATCAATGTCACTTGTTGTTCGTGCAAAACTCACCACGTTGTTAACTCGATCAATGTGTCTTGTTGTTCGTGCAAAACTCACCACGTTGTTAACTCGATCAATGTGTCTTGTTGTTCGTGCAAAACTCACCACGTTGTTAACTCGGTCAATGTCACTTGGTGTTGTTCGTGCAAAACTCACCATGTTGTTAACTCGGTCAATGTCACTCGTGCAAAACTCACCACGTTGTTAACTCGGTCAAAGTCACAAGGTGTTGTTCGTGCAAAACTTGGCATGTTGTTAACTCGGTCAATGTCACTTGTTGTTCGTGCAAAACTCACCACGTTGTTAACTCAGTCAATGTCAAAAGGTGTTGTTCGTGCAAAGCTCACCACGTTGTTAACTTGGTCAATGTCACATGGTGATGTTCGTGCAAAACTTGGCATGTTGTTAACTCAGTTAATGTCACTTGGGTGTTGTTCATGCAAAACTTACCACGTTGTTAACTCAGTCAATGTCACATTGTGTTGTTCGCGCAAAACTCACCATGTTGTTAACTCGGTCAATGTCGCTTGGTGTTGTTCATGCAAAACTCGGCACGTTGTTAACTTGGTCAATGTCACTAGGCGTTGCTTACATACAAAAATGGATTATCTTTGTGTGCAAACAGTCTTTTTCTCTTTTTGTGTTCAAAGTAGTAAGATATTTTGCTCAATTGTGATCTTTACACTGAAGTTGTTTGGTATATCTGTGACAGACATTGATGATTACCGGTATTGCTCCAGTTGTGCTTTCTCCACAGTAGTAGGAGTCAAAGTCATTGAAGTCCATCTCCTCCTCATCCGGGATCTCAATCTCAGTATCCTCAATGTCCATCTGTGAGATGTTCTGTCAAAACAGTTAAAACATAAATTTCATCACAAAGACAAGTCGACCTTATTTATCATGTTCTATCAGAATTCATTGTTTCCTTGCAGGATGAACAGAAAGCCTTATCATAAATGATATTACCTGTATAAGTAAGATTCAAAGTCAAATCCTAAATTCTTGTGTCAGTTATTAAGCAGAGGTCAAACAGTGAAAACAATCTCAACTTACTTTTGATCTGCTTGACTTGAACAGGAACACCAGCAGTATCGCCACAGGGAACACAACAACATTGGATACAAGGCCGATGACCACTTCCTCCCAGGAGAAGGAATAGTCCGCTCTGGCATCACTGCTTGTCTTGATGATTCCATACCAGATAGCGTTGACCATCATGAAGAACAAGATGACTGTCACACAGCAGGATGCCCGCTGGACACGGGTGAAGCGACTGTGGTCATGGCGATCCATCAGAGACATCCACAGATGTTTGTCAGCAAAACCGTGCGAAGCCGCCATCTTGAATGTATTGGAGAATGTTTGAATTGCAAGTTCATTGGCTGCCGGAATCTCTTTCTTCAGTAGTCCTGGTTCCATCTCAACTGACAGCCATGCGTTTCCTACAAAGTAATAAGTCCTGCCATGACCAAGGGTGCCATCACTGAGGTCCTTCACGATGACATGGCTGAGGTACCAGGAGGGGGACAGCCCTGTGTTGTCATGCCAGATCAGGATTTTCTTCAAATCCCCTAACCTGGTGTCATAGGCTATGAGAAATTTGTCAGTACAGTTGCGCTGGAAAGCAGCAGGTTTGGTCAGATGTCTCATCTCCCCTTTCCCGTCTTCACCATACAGCTTAATGCCAATGTGAGCTGTTGTGCCTGAAAATAATTCAAAGTCATAAAAGCACACTTCATCAACAATAAATTGAAAACATAGTATTGGAACATTGGGCCCTGTGCATCTGTACTGACCACCAAACAATAACGCACCTTGCCCTGAGTGTCGGACTTCCTCAGCAACTTTACAGCAGTAGCACAGAAGCCTGTACATGATCAAGTCTGGGCCCCACTTACCAATGAATAACAGCATGGGTAATGGTCTAGCTTTACATGGCATAGAGAAATATTATGTCAGTCTCCAAATGAAATTATAGGATTGACTGATGAGCAGATATCCTTAAGCACAGGAGCCCCCACGGTCAAACAAGCATGGGTTTGGGGGACCTATGTTAAAAGATAATCTCAATGGTGAGTCAAGCATGAGTGTTAGGGACCTATTCTGTACCAGAATCTCAATGGTGAGAGAAGAATTAGTACTGGGGACCTATTCTGTACCAGAATATCAATGGTGAGAGAATAATTAGTATGTGGGACCTATTCTGTACCAGAATCTCAATGGTGAGAAAAGAATTAGTACTGGGGACCTATTCTGTACCAGAATCTCAATGGTGAGAGAATAATTAGTATGTGGGACCTATTCTGTACCAGAATCTCAATGGTGAGAGAAGAATTAGTACTGGGGACCTATTCTGTACCAGAATATCAATGGTGAGAGTATAATTAGTACTGGGGACCTATTCTGTACCAGAATCTCAATGGTGAGAGAAGAATTAGTACTGGGGACCTATTCTGTACCAGAAAATCTAATGGTATGAGTTCTATATACACTGCCCTGCCGGTCACTGAGTTTAGGTGAAAAGTGGTTATTGCTAATCATTCCATTCATTCAATTGATTTATTCAGAGTAAACAAGCACCTGCTCCCATTTTGCGTCCAGTCACCACGGTCACCTCATATTTATAGAGGCCCATCTTGCCACAGAGGGGGATTCTGGTCACTCTCTGCAAATCCATACGATCCAACTTCCGGCAGATTAATACGACGACGAAGTAGACAAACAGGATGATACTGATAGCAATCATCACAACTGGATTTGTTGACAGGTCTAAATTCTGAAAATATTTTCATCATAGATTTCATTGATACATCCTCAAGCTTAAGTGAATACCGAGATTCAGTTTAACCATGATAACATCCAAGAATAAACCTAACCCTTCTCCACATGATGATGTATTTGATAAAGGTCTACATCCCCATCCTGAATCTCATGCAAGGACATTTGACTTGCAATCATTTTATAATGACTAAAAATATATTTTATTTATAATGCAGAATCTGAGGTTAACAATATTTTTCCTCATCAGTGTGTTAATGTTGCAAGTGCATTCACAACCATTTTTCAAAAAGGTTTCAATTTAAAACTTTTTTATGCAGTTTAAGACATTTTAAACTTTTTTATTATTATACAACAGAGATTTTAACTGTCATGGCTAATTTGTGTTGAATCAATGTTTTTTATACAAAAATCAACAAGTCATGGTTTTAAGAAAACTTCGGATTATTATCTATCAGTTTGCAACAAACATGGGCTGGAACTTTATGACAATGCAGACATGATTATGCTGTCAAAATGCAGTGACTGACATCATGCAATAATGTCATGTGCCTCCAGCAAACACTACACACATAAAATATATATTTAGTACAAAAATATCACTTTAACTAGAGAAGCAAGAAACACTCACCACCAAGTCTACGATGTTTATGGCGCTGGGTGGGACGAGCATGCTGCTGCCGAACGATGTCAGATGGTTGCATCGACATGCAGTACGGGTTGTGATTGACACATCCATCACCTGGCAGCCGTTGTTGTCCCAGTTCATGCTGTCGGTGTTGAAGAACTGGCAGCTGGAGAAGTAGATGGCGATGGAGATGTTGATGTCGTGGTAGGCATCCTCATTGTACACGCTGAGGGTGTAGTGTCTTTTCCTCTTGAAGGAACTGGTAGAAAGGGAGAGAGAGTCAGAGTCAGAGTTTGTAGATACTGCAGCATAAGTCTGGTTAAGTATCTTAATGTAGCTGTAATGCATTACTTTCTAAACAAGTTTTTCCTTCTATTGTTACCACACGTCAACAAACCACTACGTCTACCATGGTATTGCTACCACAAGTCAACCAACCACTACGTCTACCATGGTATTGTTACCACAAGTCAACCAACCACTACTTCTACCATGGTATTGTTACCACACGTCAACCAACCACTACGTCTACCATGGTATTGTTACCACACATCAACCAGCCTCTACTTCTACCATGGTATTGTTACCACACATCAACCAGCCACTACTTCTACCATGGTATTGTTACCACACGTCAACCAACCACTACTTCTACCATGGTATTGTTACCACACGTCAACCAACCACTACTTCTACCATGATATTGTTATCACAAGTCAACCAACCACTACTTCTACCATGGTATTGTTATAAGTCAACCAACCACTACTTCTACCATGGTATTGTTACCACAAGTCAACCAACCACTACTTCTACCATGATATTGTTACCACATGTCAACCAACCACTACTTCTACCATGATATTGTTATCAGAAGTCAACCAACCACTACTTCTACCATGGTATTGTTACCACAAGTCAACCAACCACTACTTCTACCATGATATTGTTACCACACGTCAACCAACCACTACTTCTACCATGGTATTGTTACCACAAGTCAACCAACCACCCTTTCTATGATGGTATTGTTACCAGAAGTCAACCAACCACCCTTTCTATGATGGTATTGTTACCACAAGTCAACCAACCACTACTTCTACCATGATATTGTAACCACAAGTCAACCAACCACCCTTTCTATGATGGTATTGTTACCACAAGTCAACCAACCACTACTTCTACCATGGTATTGTTACCACAAGTCAACCAACCACTACTTCTACCATGGTATTGTTACCACAAGTCAACCAACCACTATTCTACCATGGTATTGTTACCACAAGTCAACCAACCACCCTTTCTATGATGGTATTGTTACCACAAGTCAACCAACCACTACTTCTACCATGATATTGTTACCACAAGTCAACCAACCACCCTTTCTATGATGGTATTGTTACCACAAGTCAACCAACCACTACTTCTACCATGGTATTGTTACCACAAGTCAACCAACCACTACTTCTACCATGGTGTTGTTACCACAAGTCAACCAACCACTACTTCTACCATGGTATTGTTACCACAAGTCAACCAACCACCCTTTCTATGATGGTATTGTTACCACAAGTCAACCAACCACTACTTCTACCATGGTATTGTTACCACAAGTCAACCAACCACCCTTTCTATGATGGTATTGTTACCACAAGTCAACCAACCACTACTTCTACCATGGTATTGTTACCACAAGTCAACCAACCACTACTTCTACCATGGTATTGTTACCACAAGTCAACCAACCACTATTCTACCATGGTATTGTTACCACAAGTCAACCAACCACCCTTTCTATGATGGTATTGTTACCACAAGTCAACCAACCACCCTTTCTATGATGGTATTGTTACCAGAAGTCAACCAACCACCCTTTCTATAATGGTATTGTTACCACAAGTCCACCAACTATTTCTTCTGTCATGGCAGCCTTCAAGTGTCTTCAACTCAAATGTGTATGGTGCAAGGTCAAGGCTGTGATATTGTCTACCATTTGAGCTACCTTCAGTTTTCGAAAAGAATGGATTACTGGGAATTTGACAACAGCTTGGCTTCCAATAGTGGTGTGTTTTGATGGGTCAATTGACCCTTTTCGTCAGAAAATGTGGACCAGATGTCAGAAATATAGCCCTAGGGGCCCATTTAACTCACAAACATTGGGTCAATTTCTTCCATGGACCAAAGACCCAGGCCCTCTGTCCAAATGACACTGAAATAGACTTAAACACTGAGTAGTAAGTACAGAAACATTAACCCTGTAGGTATTTAGACTTACTCTGATGTTATGAAGAATGTGTAGTTGCGATGGTCGACCTTGTCAGCCATGTCTGATGTTGAGATCAGCTTATAGTCAGTGTATGTACTCTTGGTTGGGAGGAAGTTGTCCCCGAGATACACCTTCAGAGATCCTTGGGGAACCACCCCCTCCTCCTCATCAGTGGTGTTGGCTACAACGTCCATCCTCACCTGGATGTGGAGACCAGAGGCTCCGTCAGCTCCATTAGAGACGTCAAAGTTGACACGTTTGGCTTTGGAGCGTTTGACAGTGTCTGTGGTGTAGTCAAGGTTGGCTAATGGCTTGTAATAGATGCTGTCGAACAGGCTGCTGTTCTCAAGTGTCTGGGTTTTGTTGCTCTGGACAACATTCTCAAACATGAACATATTGATGTGTTTTGATTCTGGTAGTCCTTGGAGAGGGATGGCTTTTCCATTGTTGAACTTGAAGCTAAGGGAGGGAACTCTAGAGTTGACAGTCATGTTGTTAATGTACCCCCATGTGAAGGGGTTCTTTGACAACACAAACATTATCTGGAAGATTTCTTCTTCTTCGCCAATGATTCCTTGAAAAAGATTTGGGGGTAGATGAAATTCACACCCTTCTAGCTCAAGTGTAGACCAAATTTCCTTGACTTTTGACCTCTGACCATGAACTTCAATCCCACCAAGGTTGATCACCATTGAATCTTGCATCCACATTGTTGTCATTAGAATAGTGGTCATGATCTGTTCGGCGATCTCAAACGCACTTGGAACGACAGTTCGCCTATGTTTGACATCTGTGGCCGTGAAGGTAGGACTGTGGGAAGACATGACTTGTTCCAAGGCGGAGCTAATCTCGGGTCGCAGGTTAATGAAGCTTCTGTAGAAGTCGTGGATTGGATACGTCTCCCATCCAGACACAGCATCGGGGTTGTATACGCCGAGATTGACGGCCTCAATCAAATTGGAGATAGTTGCTAGAAGATGATGTGGCACAAAATCCTCCTGGTTCCGGCCCTGGAAAGCGTTGGCTTGCAGTACATTTGTAATGTTCTTCAGAGATTCAACAATCACAAGGTGACAAGATTCCGTCTGGTATTCATCAAAGTATTTCTGTAAATTAAACAACAAGGTCACTTGCTATGTCAAAATTGTATACAGTATGATACAATATTACACCTCTAAATAAAGAGACTGTAAACCCTCTTTTGGTACACAAGATTCTGGGATCTATTTAGATAGTATTCGGCACTCAGCAGGGTGGTATTGGGATGCAAATAGTTTCGTATTTGGTACACAGATGCAATGTTTTAAAAAATAGATAATGGTGTACAGAAACATTTCCTTTCTATATGTTATTTTTTCGATATTTTTCAGTAATTTAACTTTAAATCGCAACCTTTTCTCAATGCTTTTGAAATTTGAGTTTGAGTTAGATGATATTCGGGATTCAAGGGGGTGGGGGTTGGCTTCCTCAATATACCATAGTGAAGCATCAAAGTTTGGGGACATTGAATACAGAAAACGTATGATACTGCTTGAGACAAGTGGAGTGAGTATGGTTTTCCGCTGCTTTTAGCAATATTCCAGCAATATCACGGCAAGGTACACCAGAAATGGGCTTCACACAATGTACTCATGTCGGGAATCGAACCCAGGTCTTCAGCGTGACGAGCGAACACTTTAACCACTAGGCTACCCGACCGCCCCTGAGACAAGTGGAGCATGATATGAGACCACAGTGCCAATAAGGATTACCCCAAGTTCAAGTGTTCCACTGTAACAATAATCCTGTTTCCTAAAATGTCATGATCTTAAACGCAATTATCAAAAGTGATAAATGGAAAATACTTGCAATCAGATGTCAGAAGCTGAGCAGTGGTGGTATTATGGTTGACTTACTATTTTGGTTCTGAAGTAGATTACTGGATTTGTTTTGTTCAGACGGATAATGTTTAATGTGGTAAGGCAACAGGATCTGATGATGGTGATTACACTATGTGTTTGTCTCAGTCAGCAATGCACCAGCCATATGAAGGCAGCTTGTAAGTAAAGCAATTTTGTAGTTGATAGTAGATCAATGTCCCAAGCCAACAGGATACCATGACACACAATCTGACAAGTCAGAGTCTGATCAACTGATCCCCATTGCAGTGTTCACTAACTGCAACCACCTATTCTTTCCTTAACACAAACAGGGGAACCATAACCTTGATGCTTAAACTCACTGCCTGCTACTGAACAACCAGCATTGCCACTGGGCGTCACTCACCGTCAGCAGCTGGAGCAGATAGGCCACCTGCTGCACGTCCTCCAGGATTGTCACCGGGATGGTCATCAAGGTCATGGTGATGGCATCCCGGACGGTGGCTCGCTTCTCCTTGGACAAGATGCTAGGCATGACGTCAGATTCGTGGTTCAGCTCCTGACTCAGGGCTATGATGTATGGCAGCAACAGTGATGGCTTGTTTTGTTTGATCAGGGCTGGCAGTGCTGACTGAGCCTGCTCAAAAATGTAGTCGGTCATGTTGGCCGGGGTCCTCACAGTGACGCTGCTGCAGAGAGATATGGGCACTGAGGGGTGAGTAGACCTACATTTAGTCCCAGAATAAAGTTACCTCATTTAAAAATATACATCAACAAAATAAAAAACATATAATCCAAATGGAGACCAGAACAATGCCTTGAGCTTAGGCAATCTAGACTTGACCAATCATTCTAGACTTGAGCTGGACTCCCTTTCTAATTTATTCTCTAGGGTCTTGGAGACAGACTAAGGGGGTGAGGTGAGGTATTTGTATCTGTCCTAAAACTAAAATGATACTAATCTCAGAACTCCAGTTCTCCATCACAATGACACTGACACTACCAGGACCATTCCAGTTATGGTACAAAACAAAGGAATAAATATGATATACAGCACTCTCATGAAATAACCATTTGGAGATAACAATACTATGTTTTCAATGTAGATCTAGGTTATTTCTACACTTAACCATGCTACATGGGGCATTCAATAAGTTTTTTAATTATTCTAAAATGCATACTGACAATAACTGAGAAAGATGTACTTTTCTTCCAACATTAACTTCCACAGTGATGTGTTTGTCAAATCAGTTGTTTTAGCAAAAGGTTTTTGTCATTTGATATCTCTAACTAATCAGAATCAAGTAATCTCCAAATTCAAGGTAATATCTTTCATAAATATATGAATAAATAGCTGGGTAAGGGGTTAAATTTAGATTTTCAAAATGGCTGCCACAACCAGATTGGAATCCTGTGAGCAGCCTTCAATATCACCACTGATAAAACAATGTACATATCTTGATCACATGTGGTGACGTCAGTCAATCTATTGTTAGAACAATATCAATATAAAAACTACTGTGATGTTGAAAACAATGGATAACGTCATCTTTAACTACATGATATCAGGTTGCTATGGGTGGCTTCCTGCTATGAACAAGACCACAATGCCATAATGTGAATTACTGAAAACAATTTCACGGATATCTGTGCCATAATCGGTAATATAACCATAGTTACCCTGCCGTTGTGGATGTATAAGCCCCCTCATTGTCAATGACCTGCACCTCCAAGGTCACTTTGTCCGACCCGGGGAAAGATGCCAGGTAAAAAGTCAGATCCCTGTTGACGCCGTAGCACACCTGATACGTTTCCATGCTGCTGGTTCCTTTGGCAATCACCTTGTAGAAGAGCTGTGCTGTGTTGTCACTGTCTGACCAGCCCGAGCAACTGACCTTCACCTTGTTCGCAAGGGTCTGGACAGTTGTTGGCATTACCGTGCAGGTCCCTCCAGACGGGGGCTTGTTACCATGGAGCTTCAAACTGCTGGATCCAGTCCTGCTGACTAATCTAAAGCTTTTGCTGACAGTGACCGTGTAATCAGATCCCACTGGAATCACCCCTTGTTTGATCACGAGGTTGGGTCCATGGAGTGTTGTCAGTGTCTGGGAATCTGTCAGAGGATGGAGTTTTCCATCCACGTTGAGGATCCAGGTGTAGTTGGCATCAGTTTGGCAGTTGGAACACTGTGAGCTGAGTACCAACTGTTGATAGGCGTTGATGGACCCGGATTCAGAACAACTGAGACACTTGATGCTCAAGGACGGCACTGCCTCAGGGACTACACTGATCTGGATCAGCAAGAACCAACTTTCATCACATGTCCAAACTGGATAAACATTCAGCAAAACATTCTTTTGAAGATCTTGAAGTGAATCATGATTTGGCAATAGAAAGATGACATAGTCAATAAAATGGTAACTTTTAACAAACAGAACTTCTTAAAACATTCCTAAAACATTTCTACAACACATTCCTGATTCAAACAAGCACTATGTCATGCCCTTAGTTTAGTCAGACTTACTTCTAATCCTACCAGCCCAACCACTACTCACTTCTCACCTTAAGAGTTTAAGGGATAAGAAAACGTTTTACCATCTGTGATGTTGTTGCTGTTCTCCCAGAAGTAGCATCTGTGACAGTCAAGTCTAGTGTGTATTCGCCAGAAGAAAAGTTGCTCAGAAAGTTAGAGTCCTCACTATTTATCCAGGGGCATGGTTCTGATGTAGTCTGTAAATTAATTGTGTCTGGAATACAGTTTCCACAGAGTACAGAGATTCTGACATTAAACTTGAGTGAATAAAGACATAGAAACTACTTCTGACATTTTGTTTCTTGAACAGAACACAATAAACATATACAGCCTTAAGTAAGGACTACCAGGGTAGCAAGACAAAACCACAGTAAACGTTTTCCTACTTTTGGCCAAAGTGAAACATGTCACAGGGAAACTATAGCCAAGATTAAGCCCGTCGAAGGGAAACTATGGGCTAGATTAAACCTGTCACAGGGAAACTATGGCCAAGATTAAACCTGTCACAGGGAAACTATTGGCTAGATTAAACCTGTACTAGGGAAACTATGGGCTAAATTAAGCCTGTCACAGGGAAACTATGGGCTAGCTTAAGACTGTCACAGGGAAACTATGGGCTAGATTAAGCCTGTCACAGGGAAACTATGGGCCAGATTAAGCCTGTCACAGGGAAACTATGGTCAAGATTAAACCTGTCACAGGGAAACTATGGGCTAGATTAAGCCTGTCACAGGGAAACTATGGTCAAGATTAAACCTGTCACAGGGAAACTATTGGCTAGATTAAACCTGTCATAGGGAAACTATGGGCTAGATTAAACCTGTCACAGGGAAACTATGGGCTAGATTAAGCCTGTCACAGGGAAACTATGGGCTAGATTAAACCTGTCACAGGGAAACTATGGCCAAGATTAAACCTGTCACAGGGAAACTATGGCCAAGGTTAAACCTGTCACAGGGAAAATATGGCCAAGATTAAACTTGTCACAGGGAAACTATGGCCAAGATTAAACCTGTCACGGGGAAACTATGGGCTAGATTACCCGGTAAGCCTGTCACAGGGAAACTATGGCCTAGATTAAACCTGTCACAGGGAAACTATGGCCAAGATTAACCTGTCACAGGGAAACTATGGCCAAGAATAAACCTGTCACATGGAAACTATGGGCTAGACTAAGCCTGTCACAGGGAAACTACTGGCTAGATTAAGCCTGTCACAGGGAAACAATGGGCTAGATTACCCGGTAAGCGTGTCACAGGGAAACTATTGGCTAGATTAAACCTGTCACAGGGAAACTATGGGCTAGATTAAACCTGTCACAGGGAAACTATGGCCAAGATTAAACCTGTTACAGTGAAACTAAGGGCTAGATTAAACCTGTCACAGGGAAACTATGGCCAAGATTAAACCCGTCATAGGGAAGGTATGGCCAAGATTAAACCTGTCACAGGGAAACTATGGGCTAGATTAAGCCTGTCACAGGGAAACTATGGTCAAGATTAAACCTGTCACAGGGAAACTATTGGCTAGATTAAACCTGTCATAGGGAAACTATGGGCTAGATTAAACCTGTCACAGGGAAACTATGGGCTAGATTAAGCCTGTCACAGGGAAACTATGGGCTAGATTAAACCTGTCACAGGGAAACTATGGCCAAGATTAAACCTGTCACAGGGAAACTATGGCCAAGATTAAACCTGTCACAGGGAAAATATGGCCAAGATTAAACTTGTCACAGGGAAACTATGGCCAAGATTAAACCTGTCACGGGGAAACTATGGGCTAGATTACCCGGTAAGCCTGTCACAGGGAAACTATGGCCTAGATTAAACCTGTCACAGGGAAACTATGGCCAAGATTAAACCTGTCACAGGGAAACTATGGCCAAGAATAAACCTGTCACATGGAAACTATGGGCTAGACTAAGCCTGTCACAGGGAAACTACTGGCTAGATTAAGCCTGTCACAGGGAAACAATGGGCTAGATTACCCGGTAAGCGTGTCACAGGGAAACTATTGGCTAGATTAAACCTGTCACAGGGAAACTATGGGCTAGATTAAACCTGTCACAGGGAAACTATGGCCAAGATTAAACCTGTTACAGTGAAACTAAGGGCTAGATTAAACCTGTCACAGGGAAACTATGGCCAAGATTAAACCCGTCATAGGGAAGGTATGGCCAAGATTAAACCTGTCACAGGGAAACTATGGGCTAGATTAAGCCTGTCACAGGGAAACTATGGTCAAGATTAAACCTGTCACAGGGAAACTATTGGCTAGATTAAACCTGTCATAGGGAAACTATGGGCTAGATTAAACCTGTCACAGGGAAACTATGGGCTAGATTAAGCCTGTCACAGGGAAACTATGGGCTAGATTAAACCTGTCACAGGGAAACTATGGCCAAGATTAAACCTGTCACAGGGAAACTATGGCCAAGGTTAAACCTGTCACAGGGAAAATATGGCCAAGATTAAACTTGTCACAGGGAAACTATGGCCAAGATTAAACCTGTCACGGGGAAACTATGGGCTAGATTACCCGGTAAGCCTGTCACAGGGAAACTATGGCCTAAATTAAACCTGTCACAGGGAAACTATGGCCAAGATTAAACCTGTCACAGGGAAACTATGGCCAAGAATAAACCTGTCACATGGAAACTATGGGCTAGACTAAGCCTGTCACAGGGAAACTACTGGCTAGATTAAGCCTGTCACAGGGAAACAATGGGCTAGATTACCCGGTAAGCGTGTCACAGGGAAACTATTGGCTAGATTAAACCTGTCACAGGGAAACTATGGGCTAGATTAAACCTGTCACAGGGAAACTATGGCCAAGATTAAACCTGTTACAGTGAAACTAAGGGCTAGATTAAACCTGTCACAGGGAAACTATGGCCAAGATTAAACCCGTCATAGGGAAGGTATGGTCAAGATTAAACCTGTCACAGGGAAACTATGGCCAAGATTAAACCTCTCACAGGGAAACTATGGCCAAGATTAAACCCTTCATAGGGAAGGTATGGTTAAGATTAAACCTGTCACAGGGAAACTATTGGCTAGATTAAGCCTGTCACAGGGAAACTATGGGCTAGATTAAGCCTGTCACAGGGAAACTATGGGCTAGATTAAGCCTGTTACAGGGAAACTATGGGCTAGATTAAACCTGTCACAGGGAAACTATGGCCAAGATTAAACCTGTCACAGGGAAACTATGGGCTAGATTAAGCCTGTCACAGGGAAACTATGGCCAAGATTAAACCTGTCACAGGGAAACTATGGGCTAGATTAAACCTGTCACAGGGAAACTATGGGCTAGATTAAACCTGTCACAGGGAAACTATGGCCAAGGTTAAACCTGTCATAGGGAAACTATGGGCTAGATTAAGCCTGTCACAGGGAAACTATTGCCAAGATTAAACCAGTCATAGGGAAGGTATGGTCAAGATTAAACCTGTCACAGGGAAACTATGGCCAAGATTAAACCTGTCACAGGGAAACTATGGGCTAGATTAAGCCTGTCACAGGGAAACTATGGCCAAGATTAAAACTGTCACATGGAAACTATGGGCTAGAATGAGCCTGTCACAGGGAAACTATGGGCTAGATTAAGCCTGACACAGGGAAACTATGGCCAAGATTAAACCTGTCATAGGGAAACTATGGCCAAGATAAAACCTGTCAGAGGGAAACTATGGGCTAGATTACCCGGTAAGCCTGTCACAGGGAAACTATGGCCTAGATTAAGCCTGTCACAGGGAAACTATGGCCAAGATTAAACCTGTCATAGGGAAACTATGGCCAAGATTAAACCTGTCACAGGGAAACTATGGGCTAGATTACCCGGTAAGCCTGTCACAGGGAAACTATGGCCTAGATTAAGCCTGTTACAGGGAAGGTATGGTCAAGATGAAACTTGTCACAGGGAAACTATGGGCTAGATTAAACCTGTCACAGGGAAATTATGGGCTAGATTAAGCCTGTCACAGGGAAACTATGGCCAAGTTAAACCTGTCATAGGGAAGGTATGGTCAAGATTAAACATGTCACAGGGAAACTATTGGCTAGATTAAACCTGTCACAGGGAAACTATGGCCAAGATTAAGCCCGTCATAGGGAAGGTATGGTCAAGATTAAACATGTCACAGGGAAACTATTGGCTAGATTAAACCTGTCACAGGGAAACTATGGGCTAGATTAAACCTGTCACAGGGAAACTATGGCCAAGGTTAAACCTGTCACAGGGAAACTATGGCCAAGATTAAGCCCGTCATAGGGAAGGTATGGTCAAGATTAAACCTGTCACAGGGAAACTATGGGCTAGATTAAGCCTGTCACAGGGAAACTATGGCCAAGATTAAACCTGTCATAGGGAAACTATGGCCAAGATTTAACCTGTCACAGGGAAACTATGGGCTAGATTACCCGGTAAGCCTGTCACAGGGAAACTATGGCCTAGATTAAGCCTGTCACAGGGAAACTATGGCCAAGATTAAACCTGTCACAGGGAAACTATGGCCAAGATTAAACCTGTCACGGGGAAACTATGGGCTAGATTAAGCCTGTCACAGGGAAACTATGGCTGACGTAAAAACCTTTCACTGACAAACGATTTCTTAGGTTAAGCCTGTCAAAGGAAAGCTTTGGCCTTTACTGGGGAACTATGGCTGAGGTAAAACCTTTCACAGGAAGACTTCGGCCTCAGTGAAATCTTTCCAGTGGAGACCCTGGCCTAGGTTAAACCTTCCTTGGGAAAACTTCAGACTGGTTATCCTTTCATGTGTAATATTTTATGTTAGGTAAAACTTTAGCATGTCAAACCAGCTTCCCTTGCTGCTTTATATTTTCATGCAACATCAACAACTCCTGCTATCTAGGATGATGTTTGAGAGGAAAGACTGCGATCCTGATTTGTATTGGTTATGGGGAGAGTCGCTCCTGCTACAGAATGATGTATTACATACTGTACTACATAAACCAAAAGTCAAAATGGTACCTGGATTTAACTCCTTCAACTCATACCCCTGCTGTCACACGTACTTATAAAGTGTACAGTTCATCTTACTCACACTGATGCAGGTCCAGCTACAACTGAGGGCTGTTGCATCCATGTCGGGGTCCGAGGAGTCCAGGCAGCTGATGTTCAAGTCTGTGTTCTTTGACACCACACGTCCACTGCCACCCGCAATCACAGCGACCAGTTCCGATGACACTACTGTAAAGTTCACATTCACAGTCTCATACACAAATGTGTCAAGATACGAGGTATTGAACACAACACAATAAGATCCTGATGGCAATGTTCTAGCTTGCAGATGAAGAGTAGGACTGTTGGTGTTGCCTAGGTCTATCTTCCCGGTCAGGCTAGAGCAGCTGGGAGCTCTGAACACCTGCCACTCATGTTGAGACTGGTACTCTGTACAGTTACTTGAGTTTATGTCCACAGCCAGATCAAGGGACTGCGACCGAAGAACCTTGCCCGGCAATGTGTTGATGACTGTTACTTTGGGCAGCTCACAGTCCAAGACATGTATGTAGAACTGTTGTGTCTTTTCATTCTGGCTGACATCATTGTTGACAATGACAGTAAGAATGTACAGTCCCGCTGATGGAAACTTCCATTGGAGCTTCTTGTCCACAGTTTTATTTACATAACTGTCATTGAACAACCAGGTTACATTTATATCATAAAGGTTCACACCCCTGACCTCAAAGTAAATGGTCTGGTTGACAAAATTATACTTGTTGTCAGATTTTACAACCAGGTCGGTGATGTTGACTTTTCCTTGGGATTTGATTGTACAGTTTATTTGTTCTGAGCTGACATTATTTTCAGCAAATAACTCGATATGATAGTATCCCTCATGTTCAAAGTCTAAGGTTAGGTCTTTACCTTGTGCAGTTGATTTACTTCCATCAGGTGATGAATAGATCCAGGAATATGTAACATCTGTTCCATGGGTTATCAATGCTGTGATCGTTGTTTCCTCACCGGTCACTTTGGATTCGCATTTATCAAATCGGAGTCCTGAGATTGGTTCTTGAACAGTTATCACCTTAGAATCAACAGCGAAACTGACATTGTTGTACACATAAACCTTTACCACATAAATACCTGAATTGTTGAAAAACTTGTCAAACGTATCTGCATCTGTATGGCACTGTTCTTCATTGATGGTCCAGTTGTACCTATATATTCCTGCAGGTGCAGCACCGGCATGGAACCAGATTGCCGTGGCTGTCCTGATGAGGCTCTTGTTGACCGTAATGGTGACCGATAACACTTTCTCCTCAACATAGATCACCATCATGTCTGTGTCACTGTTGAGCCGGTTGGATGCATTGACTGACAGAGTATACTCTCCTGTATGGACAAACCTATAAATCAGGCTGACCTCATGGTTGACCACAGTAGTTCCTGGACCAGAGAGTTTCCAGGTCAAGCTCAAGTTGCTTCCAGACTTTCGGGTAATATCAAACACAGCCTCTGAACCATGAGCTACATATTGTGTAGCACTCTGGATCTTAATATCAGAGACTATCTCTTCAACATGGATAATACTTCCACTGTTTTTACCCTCGGGTTCCAATTTAGAAGTGGCATTGACACTGATATCACATGTCCCCAGTTTGTCAAAGAAGTGAGTCATGGTGGCTGTGGTAATGTCTTTTACTTCAGCTGACTCACACTTGACTCTCCAGTGGTAGACAAGATTTGCACCATCTGTCACCTGAGCAGTAAAGACAGTGCTAGTGTTCACACTTATAGCGTTTGCATCAAACTTGATCTGCAGACCTTTTATTCTGTCCATCACTTCAATTTCTGTATAGGTTGCTAAATCATTCAGTGAATTGTTGGCATACAGAGTGATGTTGTAGAGTCCTGCTTCAGTGAAGTGTTTGTCATTGCAGTGCCCTTCCATCCATTTTCCAACAGCTTCACAGATGTCGGCCGATGACTTCACCATCCAATGGTATGCCACATTCAGGTCAGTGTTGCTCTTTGCTGTGAAGTTGGCACCTTCATTAGTGGCAGCATATCGTCCTTGAAACAGATTTTGAGAGATGTTCAGGCTTATAATTTCCTGAAGAACATAAATGTTCAAAGATTTATTTCCACTTGACACCACATTCACTGCTGTAACAGAAAATGAATGTTTCTTCGACTGTTGAAAATGGCAGACAAACACTTGCCCTTCGTTTTCCCTGACAAGACCATCACCACAAGACCACGTGAAGGTCACATTGGTGCCCTTGGTGTAATTCACTGTGAACTGCACATATGTACCAACCTCCACTTCGAAGTCACCTTCCGCTGTTGACACATTCGAGGTCAGAGTCAAAGATTCAATTTCATCTTCAGTGACGATATCCATACACACCTCTTTATCACTTACTAGATTGGAAGCATTGACACAGATGCTGTATGTACTGACATTACTGAATCTGTGGGTGGCATCCATCACCCAGTCTCCTCCATAATTATACCTGTATGATACATCAGTTGCATTGCCAGCGACAGCACTCATCCTAACACCTTTGGATGTACTTTGGTATTTCACCATTGCACAAGACAAGCATGTCAATGTTAGGTTAATGACTCTGTACTGGGCCTCTAGAACTATGTTATCTGTGTCATAACTCACATTGTTAGAGGCATTGACTTTGATAGGATATTTCCCTGCGTGTGTAAGCTCAACGATGCATGACCAGTGATCGCACATTGCGGTTTCACCTGCGTTAACTGTCCACACGTAAGTTATGTCTGATCCTGTGCTGACTGATGTGGTGATATTGTCCATTGTTGGCTCCCCGGGTGTGATGCCTATAGTTGCTTGAGGACCTATCGTCAAGTTGGTAATCTCTTCTTGAATGCACACATTCTTGACAAACCTTTTTGTCTTTGAGGAAATTGATACTTCATAGTTGCCATATACCTTATAGAGAATGCTGACATTCAGCAAACCTACACCACTGGTGTGTGATCCATTACCAAAGTCCCACGTATAGTTCAGTCCAGATGGGTTGATGTTGATGGCTACGGCTGCAAGGACATCAGGTCTTTTTGAAGGCAAGCATTTCTCTGGCAGGATGTCCAGGAGGAATAATGTTTCATCATCGATGATGTATGCTGTAAGTTCCTCCCTTGACAAGGCACAGTTGGTGAGATCATTATATGCTATCACAGAGGTGTTGTAAATTCCCGGGTTGCTGAAGTTGATCAGAAATGTTGAATTGGTCTGGTTTATTCTTCCCGAGCCATTATCTGGATCCATGCTGTAGTGAACATTTGTGCCATCCTGTATAGTTGCAGTGAAGTTGACAGTGTTGTTGATGTGGGATGGTCCATTGTACTGAAGTTTGAGGCCGGTGACACACTCTTGAATGTGGGCCATGACGTAAGTGTAAAATGTACTGGCTAAGTTGCTGACACTCACACTGATGTTATGGGTCCCTGGCACATTGATGGCATGTTTATATGTGCTGTTGACCACTTCCGACTCAATACGTCTCTCCACTCCAGCAGGAAAGCTCCAGTTGTAATACATCTTGCTGTCAAGCTTCACATCGGATCCCTTCACAGGTACAACCCATATCTTGAACTCTACATTCTGTCCCACCTTAGCGTATTCTGGTTCTGCCCTTGCTGTTGCAGACACTGCTGCCAAGGCATACAGGGAAGCATCCTTGGAAACATTCTTGAACACATCTCGAACAACTACATGTACTGTGTAATATTTTTCTTTGTTGTATGTGTACTCTATGTTTTGGTTTAGCTCGCTGCCAGAAGTAACAAGCGTTACATGTTTCTCCTCTTTGCCATCTCCAAAATCAACAATGATCTCAATGTCTGCACTGTTATTTACGTGACCTGCTACTCTCAGGACAAACTTTTCACCAATAACTACTCCTGGAGGCACAAAAACATTCAGATCTGCAACATTGGCAGCCCGCTTGATTTGGACACCCAGTTCAGCAGTGTCGGAATGGGTGCCGCATGTCATGTTGACCGCAACCCTATGGAATCCCGTAGATGTAAATGTTATTGACCGGTTGCTGTTAGTGGTCCCGACCTCCTCCGTGTCATTCACAAGGAAGGTGTAGGTGCTGTCAGCACTGCCCTGCGTGTACATCACTGGGAAGAACGTGGGGACACCAAACTCAATCAATGGCTGACATGGATCTGCACATCCACTAGGGGTCTGGCAACTCTCGTGACAAAGCTGGAGTCCCTGGATCGGCATACATGGACCCAGAGTGATCGAATACTTGTGCTCCTTAGAACTCACTTTGTTTGATACTTTCAGCCTAAGTTCAGTTGATGAGGTAAATGTGTGTTGTATGAAAGTGAATGGTTTAACAAGGGAGGTATCATTGGTTAAACACTTCGCAGATGTGTTGTCAACACCCAGAGGGCAGTTCTCGGTCAGGGTCATATTATTGGTAACATTCACGCCCCCGATTGTCCACTCATATATCAGATCGGACCCACTGGTAACCTTGGCAACCAAAGTGGCAATGGTGTTGAGCTCGACCTGGATGTTACTGGAGACAAGATGTGGATTCACCCACAAGATCTGTCCGACTTCTTCGATTGCCGTCACATTGCATGTCTTAGTTACGCCACTGCTTTGTACCCTGTACTTGAAGGTGTACAGCCCACTCTTAGGCAGTGAAGCCAACTCGGACGGGAGTGGCACCATCTCTGTTTTGGAATAGAAGGCATTGATCATGCACAGTTGATCTTCAAGATGACTTTTGGAGGTTGGGATATCACTATTTGCACCTGTCACATTTGGTACCGAGTACAGGAGATGCCTCCACTGTGAGGTGGTGTTCTCCATGCACCTGATGGGAATTCTATCCCCTTGATACAGAACACCCATGAAATCACCAGGTTGAACTCTAATGTTGGCTTTCACTTTGTAAAGGAGTGGGCTCTTTTGGGGGATTTGTGCTGATGTGTGGCCTATGCTTGTATACATTGGAGTATGGCCGGTGACGATGGGGTTGTTGCCACAAACGATGCTGCTGGCATGTGCACCACTGCAGCTGCAGGCTTGACCTGGAGTGATACATTCATCAAACAGGTAGCACATATTGCCACTGGAACAATCAGTAGGTCGTTTGATGCAGTCGTTGGTTTTGTTATCACAGGAATAGAACTGGTTCCCTCCACAACCTGTAAACATGAACAGTCTTGTATCAGTGTATGAAGCAATGTATGTAACATTCCTGTACGCACATCCACCCTCATCCCCAATCCCCCAAGAACACACCCCATCAACCCCAACCTGGAACCAGAACAATCACCATCAACCCCACCTTAGTACCAGAACAATCACCATCAACCCCACCTTAGTACCAGAACAATCACCATCAACCCCACCTTGGTACCAGAACACCCGCCATCAACCCTACCCTGGTGACAGAACAGGCTGGGGTTGATGGTTCTGTCAACCCTACCCTGGTGACAGAACAATCACCATCAACCCCACCCTGGTGACAGAACCCGCACAATCAACCCCACCCTGGTGACAGAACACACCCTATCAACCCCACCCTGGTGACAGAACCCCCACAATCAACCCCACCCTGGTGACAGAACACACCCTATCAACCCCACCCTGGTGACAGAACACACCCTATCAACCCCACCCTGGTGACAGAACACACCCTATCAACCCCACCCTGGTGACAGAACACATCCTATCAACCCCACCCTAGAACCCCCACCATTAAGCCAGAACCCAGGTATTTTACTCACCTGGCTGGTTTTCAATGTCTGATGTGCAGTTGGGGCGGTAGAGGACCAACTTGATGAGGGTGTCTGCTGGAAGTGACTCAGCCCTGAAGGTGAACCATAGAACTTTGCCACTCACAGTAAACCAGTGACCTGAAACAATTGAGACAAGGCTTTACTACACAAAACAGTGACCTGAAACAATAGAGACAAGGCTTTACTACACAAAACAGTGACCTGAAACAATAGAGACAAGGCTTTACTACACAAAACAGTGACCTGAAACAATAGAGACAAGGCTTTACTACAAAAAACAGTGACCTGGAACAATAGAGACAAGGATTTACTACACAAAACAGTGACCTGAAACAATTGAGACAAGGCTTTACTACACAAAACCAGTGACCTGAAACAATTGAGACAAGGCTTTACTACACAAACCAGTGACCTGAAACAATTGAGACAAGGCTTTACTACACAAAAGAGTGACCTGAAACAATAGAGACAAGGCTTTACTACACAAAACCAGTGACCTGAAACAATTGTGACAAGGCTTTACTACACAAAACTGTGACCTGAAACAATAGAGACAAGGCTTTACTACACAAAACAGTGACCTGAAACAATAGAGACAAGGCTTTACTACACAAAACAGTGACCTGAAACAATAGAGACAAGGCTTTACTACAAAAAACGGTGACCTGAAACAATAGAGACAAGGCTTTACTACACAAAACAGTGACCTGAAACAATTGAGACAAGGCTTTACTACACAAAACAGTGACCTGAAACAATTGTGACAAGGCTTTACTACACAAACCAGTGACCTGAAACAATTGAGACAAGGCTTTACTACACAAAACAGTGACCTGAAACAATTGTGACAAGGCTTTACTACACAAAACAGTGACCTGAAACAATTGAGACAAGGCTTTACTACACAAACCAGTGACCTGAAACAATTGAGACAAGGCTTTACTACACAAAACAGTGACCTGAAACAATAGAGACAAGGCTTTACTACACAAACCAGTGACCTGAAACAATTGAGACAAGGCTTTACTACACAAAAGAGTGACCTGAAACAATTGAGACAAGGCTTTACTACACAAAACAGTGACCTGAAACAATTGAGACAAGGCTTTACTACACAAAACAGTGACCTGAAACAATAGAGACAAGGCTTTACTACACAAAACAGTGACCTGAAATAATAGAGACAAGGCTTTACTACAAAAAACAGTGACCTGAAACAATTGAGACAAGGCTTTACTACACAAAACAGTGACCTGAAACAATTGAGACAAGGCTTTACTACACAAAACAGTGACCTGAAAAAATTGGGGCAAGGCTTTACTACACAAACCAGTGACCTGAAACAATTGAGACAAGGCTTTACTACACAAACCAGTGACCTGAAACAATTGAGACAAGGCTTTACTACACAAAACAGTGACCTGAAACAATAGAGACAAGGCTTTACTACACAAACCAGTGACCTGAAACAATTGAGACAAGGCTTTACTACACAAAAGAGTGACCTGAAACAATTGAGACAAGGCTTTACTACACAAACCAGTGACCTGAAACAATTGAGACAAGGCTTTACTACACAAAACAGTGACCTGAAACAATAGAGACAAGGCTTTTCTACACAAACCATAGAAATGGGTTTATTAGCTGTACATGGCACCTCACTTGAACCACAGTGTGTCACATGGATTCAAAGGACAACCCAAAGTGATGTAGGCTCTGGATGTTTGGCAAAACCAATAAGTTATGATGCTGATCAACCTGGTAATGAGGGTTTTATTTGACCTTACCCATTATCAACGAATCAAGGAGTCTGACAATGACTGACCTGGCATGTACATGAGGCTGTATGAGGAGACGGCAGCATCGTTAGATGACGTCAGCTCTACCGTTTTCTGACTCGTGTCCTCCATCTCCAGACTACCAGCGATGTGAATCTCTGTGCTCACCACATCTGGAACACATCAAATCTAGATGTGCAGATACGCACACACATAGTCAAACATATTGAAATTTGACATGTGCAACTCACAAATACTTCCAGTTAGGTACCCAATCATCATCAATACTTCCAAGGTCTGTGTACACTACAGTCCTCCATCATCACCCATGTTGTACCATATCACACAGCAATATGATGGCGGCCATAAGTACACAGGACCACTTTGCAGGGCAGTAGTAACATGTGTCTATGTTTAGTCAGTTAATGATATGAGGCCTGGCATAACTCACGTTAGTCAAATGAGACCTTTTCTGTGCATGAGCTTAGAGCAAACCTACCATTGCAAGACTTTGAAGCAATGTGTAGAGCAGACTGCCACAAGACTAGGGCACAAGAAATATTGCCGACATAATCTGAGAGCTCACTGGTCAGGGCACTCTCTGGTTTCCCTGCTGCTGGAACCAGGCCATGACTTGATTCATTGCTTCAAAACAGCAACTAATCCGCAAAGAGGGCCAATGTATTCCAGAATGAAGCAGGAAGCTAGTGTATACAGGACCCATGTAGTATTAATGATGACATCAAGCAACTCATGAGTAGTTTAAGATGATTAACCAATTCCAACAGAATTAACGCATACTTGAACAGGGAAATTCATTAAGTACAATCATGTGGCACTGCAGATTCACAATGGCAATCCCATGTGTGTGGACCGATGATGGTGAGTTAGTTAGTGGCAGGTGGGCCGTGTGATCAAACACCAGTTTACTGGACTCACTGTTTGGGGTATATTCACATATGAAGCTGTGTTCATCTAAACACCCATAAGTGTCAACAGTGTCTTCTTCTGAAAGGTAGCCACATTCCATCCTCATCCCATCTGTAGAACCTCGGAACAGGTTGCCGTTTGTCCACATGTAGTTATCTAGCGATGCAGACTTGTTCAGGCCAATCCAAGCCTCACTAACAGATCTGAAACAGATAGATATACTAACTATGTCCCCTTTATACAAAGCAATCTTAGTGCCAGGGTTGTCACAAGTGTAAGTTAAGGTATATGATGTGAAACAATCTTAGTACTAGGGCTGTCATGTGTAAGTTAAGGTGTATGAGCTAAATCAATCGTAGCAGTATAGTTTAATACTTTGTGAAACATTCTTTGGTCATTCATCATAAGACAGTGTAATGGGTAGGAGATATTTTAAACACGAGTGAGTGTCACAGAGAAGGCAAACCCTTGGCCTTTTTCGCAAACCTTCTTAAATGTCTGTCAAAGTCCTTTTCATAAAACCGAGAAAAAATCCCACATCATGAAAATCCTGTGTAAGCCCATAATTAGCTAATCATTAGAAACCACCTCACTACCAAACACCCAAATACCAATAAAGACGTTCCCTTCTTCCTTTACACCATGACATATACAGTATACCTTGTATATGAAACATCCATACCCCACTATACTCATCAATACACATGCCTTGAACAGTTTGTAATAAAGTAAATATATCAAAATTACACAAGCATTGCATTTGTTTTAAAGTTTGATGAAAAAACCCAATTAGTTTATTGTGTCATAGTATTGATATTTCAGCAGTAAATACCCGTCCTCTTTGCGATGATGCCCATCAAGATGTCTACTTACTGGTTTATCATGATCTGTACAAGAAAATGTGAAAGTTGATTATCCTCAACTATGGCGAGTGAGCCGCCATGGGTGTCAGTGCAGTTGGTCTTGGCGGACTTCCAGTCCTTTTCTTCGCTGTAGAGGATGTAGCAATGGTCATTAACACTGTACTTGCTCCCCAGCAAGCAAGGTGGGGAAACTGTCAACAAAATATACATGTGTTACTTAGAGCAGATTGGCACACTAACTACATTTACAAGTTTCTTTCATCCCAGTCTTGAAGTAAGTGAGTATTGTTTTACACCGCTTTAAGCAATATGTCAGCAATATTGTGCCAGGGGACACAAGAAATGGGCTTCACACATTGTACCCATGTGGAGAATCAAACCTGGCTCTTCGGCATGACCATGGGGCTACCCCAACATCCCCGACTCTAAAACAACCAGGTGAGCTGGAACAGCATGGATTACAGCACAACACAAAGATACCTGTAGTGGTCCACACCACATGTATTAGCGTCATACTATTAAACACCATATTCCTGCTATATCACAACAGCCTGTAAATAATGAAGTCTGGGCCAGACAAACTACTGTGGCTGATATTGTTCTGGGTATGATGACATGCAATATTCCAGCTGTATGGCAGCGGTCAGTTAGTAATTGAGTCTGGACCAGGCAATCCAGTGATTAACATCATGATCATCGATCCACACAATTGGGACAAAATGACATGTATCAATCAAGTCAGCGAGCCTGACCACCCGATCCCGTTAGTCGCCTTTTGAAGCAAGCATGGGTTGCTGAAGACCTATTTTACCCCGGATCTTCACAGGCCACCTGATCAGCTGATCTAATTTAGCCCAACTTACGACAAGCCATAGAGTGGTGGGGACCAATTGTACAACTAATAGAGCTTTGATGGACATGTTTTAAAGTTTTTTTCCTCAAAATGAAAACTTACCACGATAAGAACTCAGAAAAAGTCTCCAAAGGCGTTATTAGAATGAGTTTGTAATGACCTGCTCACTATTCACATAAACTGTACTGTGAACTAGTACTTCTAGGGAGTTAGCATCAAATTCATCGTAGTTTCATCGTTTATGACATCATCAATCACCGGGGATTTCACAAGTGTACTGGACATTTCATGAAGCAACAAAACTCTGTTTTGTATGTAATATTTATGTTCTATGTTATGCCAGATTAAAAAAGTATATCTATTAATACATTCAGAGTTCTTTTTCAGTTTGTCCTTCGTAGACATTTCATAAAAAGGAAAAAGTGTAAATTTGATTTCTTTTTCCCACACATGTGTTGTCATGTGCACATACAGGTTTGCGATGTCGTTCTGGGTGTTTTAGTAATGCCTGTGCCCCTGGATTCAACCTCGCGAATATTCAGCTTGTCCACTATATTGTTCTTTACAGTCCATGCTGATGACATACTTGGACTCCTTACAGATGATTTGTTACTCTGGACAATTTCACTTCAAAGGATTTCCAGCATTCCAATGTATTTGTGCAATAAAATATTGTTGACTGACTAAATGATATACACATGTTATATAGCACAGTGCTAAAAGGCACTATTATATCACCTGTAGCGGAATCCTCCTCTGCAGTTCTGCTCCAGACTATCTCAGAGTTGTAGCCATAGGAAAACTTGGCATTCATGGAGACACTCTCAGACAGCTTCACACATTCATCGCACACCAACCTCCCTTCATCATCCAGGCTGGAGACCTTCATCCCAGTCTCCACCTCACCACAGCTTCCACACTCAGAGCAGCACAGTTTCATCTTCAGGCGGAAGTTGCCAGGATACATATAGGTATGTGCCAGCGACATTGACGTTGTCGTCACAAGATGGCTGCCATCCCCAAAGTCCACCTCCATGCTGTCGAACCTGACGTCCCACTGCAGAGCCAAGGTGACTGGTGTTCCGATGACAACGGGAGATGTATAGTTGACTTTAATACCGGACATAATGCCCTTGGCCCCTGGTATGGTTGTGTAGGATTTTGCACAAGCACAGGTGCAGTTGACATTGACGTCGCCACAGAAGCAGTCATTTTCCGTATTGAGAACGAAGTAGGAGTAGCTTTTGTTGAAACAGAACTGGTGACATTCCGTCCAGTTGTTGGCTTTCCGTTGCGTGTTGTAGACGACGAACCTGGACTGGGACGCCTCCTGGACACATGTGGCGTACGCAAGGCTGCCTGTGATTGAGGAAACCCATCAGTCAGTCCGCTGTCTATACCACAGGCATCACACATGAAACAACTAAAACTGATAAAACTAATACTGAATTCAATAAGTACTGACTGAATCGACCCCTGTTGCTGTGAGAATACTGTGTATTTAACAAGTTCATGAGGAGATGTTAAAACAGCTTGTGGATGTCCGATTTAATTCAATAACCATTGAAATATAGCAACATTGTATATTTTAAAATGCACTTATTCACGTTAGTTGATTTACCATGATTTTCTTCACTATGAACCTGAATTAATTTCAAATTAATTGACAATGTCAATGATGTGAATGCTCAATATAGACTTGTATATAGAACCACACTGGCAATGTCTCTGCAGCATTAGCATAATAGGTGTTTTCCACAACCCTTAAAAACCAATTAGATGTTGTTGACAATGAAGAATAGTTACAGTCTCATTACAGTGCTTACGCTAATGACATACTCAATAATGGCATTTCATCTGAAGTGTACATAGCTATTAGACACCTATAACACAATAAGACCAACAGTACTTATCGATAATGACTATCTGATCGAGTCTGTTGCAATACTTGGTACCATGTACAGGAACTTATCTCAGTCCCATACGAATTCTGTGATCGCAGGCAGATTTGCAGAAAATGTAAGTCATCGTTGAAATGCAGAAAAATTGTGGAATTTGCCTTATTTATCAATCAATAAACTAATTTTTAGTATTTTCAAGCTTTTCTATCAAACTTTTCCCAAATGATGCCTTAACATTCATGCAAACAAAAAATGAATCCTACAATAAAATGAACTTTGAAATAATCAATTCTCACTTTTAAATTTTCTTGTGGTAACATGACTACATAAAGCATGTTTACATCTAACAAAAATATTGATGACACTGTGCATATTTGTTTGCATAATTGAATGTCTTACCCAATGATAACTGTTTGTAATGATAGTTTGGCGAATTGTTTTGTTTTGGATTGTGTTTTCGAAAAATGAGGTTATATACATATACATATGAGGGCGAAATAGTTGTTTTTATCACAGAATTTTCTATTTAAGCCACAGAATTTTGGTAATTTTACCACAGAATGTTGATAATTTCACTGCAGAATTTGTATATCTGATCACATTTTCCAGTGTAATTACAGAAGTATGGCTATAGAAGATATAATTAAACCAATCCATATGAAGAAAGGCGACTCGCTAGGTGAAACCCATACAGGCCTATTACAATCCCAAGCTGTCCTTTCAGATCATAAGTTTACCACGTTTCAGTTAACTAGGGTCGGCAGATACTGTAAACCAAATTCTTTAAATAGCCTCAACCAACTTTTTATGTTTTTTAAACCCACTCCACTCAATATGTCTTCAACATCAGATACACAAGATACCATTAAAGTTACCTTTAAATTCTTGTCATAAATTTTCAAGTTTCCATGACAATGATAAAATATGTCGGAACCAAACTTCCAGTTTGTTGATAAATGGTTCTATTTGATATATAAAGACCTTTCAAGTGATGATACCTACAGATATCTAGTTCCTACAAACTGAGATGAGTACATGATGTCATGAAAGTACCACACCCACACTGTGGGGGGCAAATGACTACTTGGCAGGAATCAAAACTGGAGTCAAATAGTTTGTGTTCAACACCGCTTTGAACAGTATTCCAATTATATCACGGCGTGTCAGCTTAATGCGGGAGGAAAGCCCGAAGTGATGCAGGTTCCAGATGTTTACCACTTTGATGAAACCACGAGCTACAGTTATGGTGCTGACAAACCTAGAAACATAATAGGTTTCTGCCTTGCTCAAGGGCAAAATCAATTGAAAAAACTATTCTTTTTATTTAATTCAAAAATAGAACAAATAATTCTGGACATCAAAAAAGCATTTATGGAAATAAATATATGACAACTAAAAATTAGGATGTGTTTTTATGATTGCTCTTAAACAATATGATAGAATAAATCTACATGAAAATAAACGATAGAAAACTACGAGATATCTATAAATAAAAGGCATTAGAAATGCTGGCATGCACATGTATGTTGCAGTGGGGCTCCTGCAATAGGCATATGAGGGTAGATAAATGAGGGATATTACAAGTATAGGGACATCAGTGGTTAAATATGAAGAAGATGCAAGTAGAGGTAGAACTGGGGGCAGAAAATAACAACTTTCGGTACTTTACCACTTTACATAGCAGATAATTAACTAACTCTATGGTGAGGATGAAATGGCATTTCTATACAACACATTCTCTATAAAACAATTACTTATCAATTAATATTCTTGAATCAAAAATGTATTTATTTCATAAATTTTATAAAATTATATGTGAATGTAAAATGAAACTGTAAATAAATACTACTTTTCTTACAACTAACTGTCTCACTACACCTATGTATTGCTAGACTCACCACTGATGTCAGTTTTGTCTGTTGCCGTGATTTTAGGGTCATACACAGGATCGTCTGGAACTTCTCGTTTGACAAGCTTATGGCAGCCTGATGCTACAGAGTTAGCATTGAGATTAGTTGTATGCCCGCCTGTACCACCTATCCCACACAGCAAGCACATAAGACAAGTTCAAGGACTAACAAGGACCAATGCAATGGATGGAAGTTTTTACAATGAAACATTTGGCCTCTTCTGTTAGGAGTTCCAGCACATGATGAAGCTAGAGGCTTGTGTCTGTCCTTACTTTTATGCAAAGGATGCTTCATGCTAATTCATCCCTCTACTAACTCATTTCTGGGTGAAGTAGGGAAGGTGCATATGGTGATGTCAGATCTCCTCATCTTCCATAGCTGATGCTAATTACTGCTTATCTTTTACAAGTTATAGATAAACAATCTTAATGTTTTAACTGATGTCCAGCAATAACACCTATAATTTTCTGTAGGAAAAAAAGCTTCAAAAGCTTCTGTATTAGCCCTTGACATCAGAATGCTTGATTTGAACAGAGGTCTCTGATTTGAAGAATATTAAAGATAAAAACCCTTTACCCAAAAAAACAAGATTGCAGCTAAAATAATATATAATTATTCTTATAACCACCTCAATTATCTGTTGAGCAATGTAGACATTGACATCTGAACCGAAATAGCTATTAGGAAAACACTATGGAACTGCTTCTACCGCACCTGGACCCGTTATAGTGTTATAACATTACATATCGATACATCTTGTAGAATCATGCATCCCCTCTTTAAAGTGCTGAATAAACATGTTTCATACCCCTATTCTTAGTGACTGATGTGATCCTTTTTCCCCCATCCTACACTGTTGTAGGTGGCTGACTCAACAGTGTGTTAGATCCAGAACTCCTCACCACCGGTTACTTAGATCAGACACCATTTTAAGACCTCTCCTCAGACCAACAGATTGAAAGGTCTATCGCCAGGGTAATGCTGCTACTGAACCCCATGTTTTAGCATTGGCCATAATACACTGTTATCATTATTTCAGGTAGTGAGCATACAGAGCATAGTCCTTGTTATGTCCCCTTGCTTAGTCTCAGCAGAAGAATGATACTGTCTCCCTGACAACTGGCTAAATGATCATCGTCATGGACACAGCTGGGAAGGCTGTTGATTCACAGAATTTGGGGGGGAGACACTGATTGGCTCACACACAGATATCTATGGCAGGGGACTGGTAGGAGGGAGGTCAAACTTCTAAAGTATGCTGATAAGGAACCCTATAATACATACAGGGTCCATGCACTAACTTAGAATTAAGGCTGAACTGAACATACATACATCTAAAGCTGCGGCTCATACCAAGTTGTACAATATCCAAAACAAAAATACAGGGTAGGTCATTGTGGAATTAGGTCACCAAACAAGGTGAAGGTCAGATAACGAGAATATTAAAATCTGTCTGTATAATCTGTGAAATTAGAATATGATGGTTATTCAATTATAAATTTGTACGCTGTGAGATAAAAGGAAATCACGAAGTCAAGTCAGTAAATGAAATCTAAAGGATATTTTGGAATGAAACCAAGTATGACCTGTCTGTTGAGCAGTATCCTAATTTAACGATTTTATACACTGTTCAGGTACTGCTCAACTTATAGAACTGGGACACTGTCTATCCATGAAGTCTCTTCATTGAACTCGGGAGTTGGGGGTCTCGTGTAGCAATAAGAAAGCCAAACAAAGGTCAAGGACATATTTAAAACAACAGGTCAAGGGTTGGACTAAAAAAACCAAATGGTGTATATATGGGTCAACACAGGGTCAAGGTCAGTGAAGACATGAAGCATTTTTCTACTAATTTAGCAGGCAATAAACTTGTGTTATGTGTGTGAGACTCTATTTTTTCAAATTTCAACTGTTTAACACATTTCATTCAGCTTAACAATAGTTTTTTTCTTTGTCTCTGAACACATGACACAAGCAACACAGTAGATGAACATAAACACGTCTACATTTGTTTCCATATTCTGTGTATTGAGACCATCATGTAATGGTTCATTTTTTACAATGATTATTCAGTGACTCAATTTTCAAATCATGGTAACCCTAAAATGGCAAGTCGCTTTATTGGGAACTTTAAACAATCATGGCCAAAAGGTTTCCTGTAAACTGAATAGATACTAAGTTGATGTTAGCAGGATACCAACTTTTTACTTTTTTTAGGCATGAAAAGGTTTTATTGTTTTTTTCTTAACATGTTGTCATTTTAGTGTGTCTTACAGATGAACGGGTGGTTGATTACCTAGAATTATAGCTAAAATGGATAGAATGATCATTAAACCGCCCGCACGTTATTAGAAATAAGCGGGCCACTGTAACTTGATAATGCCCTCATTTTGCTTGACGACGGGCCATTATCAAGCCCGTTGTTCGGTGACGTCAAAGGGTAGAGAAAATGACGTCACGTATTATAGTGACGTCATCTGGTTTGTTCTGTGACGTTTCCATATTTGTAAAATGTGGTCAGTGACATTCGTGTCGATTGCAGTAAATGTTTCAAAACTGATATTGTTGTTCTTTTAATTTGATAACAAATTCCATCCATTTTAGCTATAATAACGGTAACGCTCTCTTTCAGGGCATTATCATTGGCAGAAGCCCTCGGTCTTTTCAACCGCCTTCTTTCGTCGGGCAGTTAATGGAAGACCTCAGGCTTCTGCAAATGATAATGCCCTGAAAAATAGCGTTACCCTTATAATATTTTGACAAGAAAGGATAATTTCAAAAATATAATTTGATTGGCTCAATGCATAGATATTCAACAAATGTACACAGGTGGAGGCGTTGAATGGATAAACATGCACATATGCAAAACAACAGTTCCCTTTAACATTAAATGCAGATAAAGAGAAAAAAGTATACTACAAAATTTATCTGAGTATATTTTAGTAGCCCAATTGCCCACAAATTGATAATATATATATATGTCATACTGATATATAATACAACACACACCTTAACAAACATTCCCTGTACTGAACAGTAAAATATACCATGAAGGACAAATGATATTGAACTCATTCAGTCAAATCACATCAGGTAATTCAGCTTCTTCAAGTTAACCTTGTAAGGTAAGGACACCTAAAGTTTCTCTGACATGACTTTTAGCAAAACTGACTGGGTAGAAAGGGAGGCTTGTCTTATTTTATTTATTTTATTAAGCCTAAAAAGATCATAAATTCAGATTTCCTGTTAGTGTCACTGTCCTTTATGTTATACTGAGGATAATAGTTATATAAAAGCTATCCCAGGATCGAAGTGCAACTGATTCTCTGACAAGTATGGCAGACTTTAAAGAAAGTATGTACAACCTCTTTAGGTTTTGAATTTTGAGGCTTTCAGAGAATAGGTTACCTTGTATGATCACACTTTGTCGCACAACCACCCCACATTGTTGTATTGTAACCTTGATAACTATTTCTGGATCCCCGAACAAGCAAGCCTATATGATCATGGTCACAGATTCCTGTTGACAACTGAGGCAACTATGTGTGTGTGGAGTACATGGTAACAACTGAGGCAACTATGTGTGTGTGGAGTACATGGTAACAACTGAGGCAACTATGTGTGTGTGGAGTACATGGTAACAACTGAGGTAACTATGTGTGTGTGGAGTACATGGTAACAACTGAGGCAACTATGTGTGTGTGGAGTACATGGTAACAACTGAGGTAACTATGTGTGTGTGGAGTACATGGTAACAACTGAGGCAACTATGTGTGTGTGGAGTACATGGTAACAACTGAGGCAACTATGTGTGTGTGGAGTACATGGTAACAACTGAGGCAACTATGTGTGTGTGGAGTACATGGTAACAACTGAGGCAACTATGTGTGTGTGGAGTACATGGTAACAACTGAGGTAACTATGTGTGTGTGGAGTACATGGTAACAACTGAGGCAACTATGTGTGTGTGGAGTACATGGTAACAACTGAGGTAACTATGTGTGTGTGGAGTACATGGTAACAACTGAGGCAACTATGTGTGTGTGGAGTACATGGTAACAACTGAGGCAACTATGTGTGTGTGGAGTACATGGTAACAACTGAGGCAACTATGTGTGTGTGGAGTACATGGTAACAACTGAGGCAACTATGTGTGTGTGGAGTACATGGTAACAACTGAGGTAACTATGTGTGTGTGGAGTACATGGTAACAACTGAGGCAACTATGTGTGTGTGGAGTACATGGTAACAACTGAGGCAACTATGTGTGTGTGGAGTACATGGTAACAACTGCAGTATTAAAGAGTGTAACTGTTGCTTAGCAACACTGTTTGGCTGAGCATGATGACTAGTCTGTCATACAGACCCTGAAACAAATATATCCAATACAGCCCATGCAAGTCTATAATGTTTGGCAAGTCTTGATGACTGCAGTATCTTAAAATGAAGCAAGTCTCTGGGCTTATACTTCATAGCTATTATTAACAACTGTTTTTATCTGTCAAATATGTTTATTTCAGAGTGTAAAATGATGCCCAGAAAATGGTGTATTGCATTAAAGTGTTAAAGCCATCTCGAAGTTTCAATCATTGTTTCAGAACATTTTCATTGTCTTCCCACAAAATATGTTTCTATGTTGAATCTAGATAATACCTTGTCTGAGCTGATACAACATGTTCCAAAGTTTCATGAAAGCTTAAAAATTGTTTTGGCTCAGATAGATTACTAAAAATACTGTGGTTGGTTAGAATGAAGTATTCCTAAACTAGAGAGGATTTAACTTTTTCTGTTTCATCAATTTTCTATGAAGGCCTAGCACTGAAAAGATAAGTACCAGGAAAATAGTATTGGTCAGATAGAGCTAAAGATATCAGTTTCAGTACCCCACAGTTAATGAACAAGCAGATGAATTTGGCACTTCGGTGAAAATAGCATGTTCAGCTGAGGTTTTTATTCCATTTGTAGAAATGCTTACTAAGGCCATCAAACATTAATTATCAAACTTTCATTACATTTCTAAAAATGTGATGCAGGAGGAATATTATTTCATATATATATATATGTAATTCAGATAAAGCCTGAATGTGTGGTAGGACTTGTGTGGTATGTCATCAAATAAAGAAAGACCGGAACACACATGACTATTGGAACTTTGGGCACTGAAATTATGAAAGGCAGTGTGTTTTGGAAAAAGGTAGGAGGGGATGAAAATCTAATAGTAATAATTCATTTTATTATGGTCTAATCTTTCCTACCCAGGACTATATTCTTTACCATAACAGATCATACCCACAGTGAAAATATAACTCTTTTATCAACAGGAATCTGTGAACATGCAAAGATCCATCCTCTACTCCCAAATAACCATCAAACTACCACTATTTCTAGTATGTTTCAGTAAAAGTAAAAATCAAAATCACAAGTCCCCCTTTGAAAGCAAACACCAGTATACATGCCAGACTTACAGGAAAACTTGGCCCTGGACACATCCACAAGGGCTGTATCCGGGTGCTTGGAGCACCGGACCTGGTCCTGGTCCTGGAAGATGTCTTGCCATTTCTTCTCATTCATCCTGTCATGCAGCCATTGCAAGGAGCAGTCACAGTTCCAGGGGTTGTCAGTCAACCAGCTGTAGCCAGGCAAACAAACTCTCAAATACGTGAATTGGTCAAGAATTAATCTGTCAGGTAGAAAACTAACACTTCTCACAAGTCAACAAAGACAGCCGTGCTATGGCGCTGAAGATTACCTAAATATGTAGTCAATGTCAACAAAGATGGACACCTAAAAGTAGAGGTTGTCATCATTGCTAGTCAGATATTTCCTCCATAAATACTGGGGACAAAAGAATGAACAAATAAAAAACAAGTAACTAACTATCAACAACGTTGTTAAATCGGCAAGAATAAATGTACTTTTGTGGAACATTGTACAATACCCAGGAGTTCAAATAACCTTACAAAAAGTTTCATCTCTGGGTCGCATAAACCTTTAAAGGAAAATAATTTAACATGTGCCATGCAATTTTCCAATTGTTTCCCACAAAAAAACACAGTAAAAGTCTAATGATTTGAAAGAAACATGACCTTATCATGACTTTAAGTTCTTGAGAAGAATATTTTTGAATAATTCTTGTTCTTAAAACAAAAATGGCTACCTGACGGTCATATTGAAATATTCCAATTTTGATGTCTCTAACAAACCTGAAGCTCACCCCTCTACATGGTAACAAACTTCCACACAAAATATGAGCTGAATCAATCTTGCCTTTTCGGAGGAGTAAAAGATATCCAAAGTCCATGCCAGACACCAAAAACCAAAAGACATCAGATGCCAAGAATGAATGACTTGTGACGATATAAGCTCACAAGGCCTTTCAAGTCAGGTTAGGTGACATAAAAAATTAAAATTAATACTCACATTTTTCTCAAGTGTTTGATTTGATCAAATACACTCTCTAATAAAGTAGTGAAGTTGTTGTTGTTTAAATGCCTGAAAGATTAACATTGATAAATCAATGAGGAAATATATATAATTATATGAAAATATATATATACAGTTATCCCTCGTTCAGCGATCAGCGGTTTACAGTATGTATATAAACCCATGAATTATGGACAAAGAGTTCACAGATCTGCCTGTCACTATTAAGCCATTAAGATAAAACAGAACAGAAGACTCTAGTAACTACCAGACATTCTGACTGTTTCTTCACCTCCAGCAAACCTCCTCTGAGGCAGTAAAGGAAAGCATATTTTCCCCAGTACATGAGCCCCAACCTGTAAAAACAGGTAATTGAACAGTTCTGGCCCTATGTACTGATGTGAAGTATTACAGGGAACATATTGGCAGCAGCTATAAAAGGAGATGCTTACAGTTCCTTAAGGTCCTTGTTATGAGAAAAAGTTCCTTCTTCAATGTGTGGTAAGTCATTCCCAGAAATGTCCCTGAAGCAAACAAGTAACCTCATTAAAATCTTTAGTTGTTAAAAACAGAACTGAAACATCATATGCTTTTTCCATAGTTACTCTGTAGAGTTAACGTTATACTGACATGTTCAACGTACAGTAGATTTAGAGGTATCCAATACACAACTACATGTTTCTAAATTTTAACTACAGCTAAAGTTTATCTCCCTGTGAAATACCTATGTTCTGGCTGGTAACTGAAATTAAGTCATTTTTTAATGGTATACTTACAATGTTTCCAGTTTTTTGAATATTTTGAAGGCTTTGATTGGGAAATCAGCGAAGTGTAAATCTGCTAACTGGCTGTAAAAATAAAAAACAAACCACTTCACCTCCAGTATCATAAAGTGATCACATCCAGGGATATACAAGAGTATAAATTAAAATCATAGAAAGATGTGTTTACTTATAAACTCACAAACTGAAAAATTTATATAAATCTTCACAAAAGTTTCCTGTCAGACAAGATTGGAAACACACCTATGGTGCACTGATGCCAGACTATGGTGCACTGATGCCAGACTATGGTGCACTGATGCCAGACTATGGTGCACTGATGCCAGGCTATGGTGCACTGATGGCAGACTATGGTGCACTGATGGCAGACTATGGTGCACTGATGCCAGACTATGGTGCACTGGTGGCAGACTATGGTGCACTGATGCCAGACTATGGTGCACTTATGCCAGACTATGGTGCACTGGTGGCAGACTATGGTGCACTGATGCCAGACTATGGTGCACTGATGGCAGACTATGGTGCACTGATGGCAGACTATGGTGCACTGAAGGCAAGCTTGATGTGAACCAGGTGTTAAATACTATCAATGTAAACTTACAAGTCCTCTACAGAAATGTCGTGGTCGTCATCAAACATGAACCTGTCCACTGGATTGCTTGACAGGTTCCTGGAAAACACATTGGCCAGTCAGATGAACATGAACAACAAAGATGTACCACTAACAGATGTAATCATTTAACACCCAATAATCTTAAAAGCCTTTGTTTGAGGAGGAGGGGTATTAGAAAGCATGTACATGCCAAGTATATAAATCATTTTTCTAACTACTTCAAAAGGAGCTTTTCTACCAAATTGGGTGTTTAATGCTGACCAGTGTTGCAGTGATATAGCAGTGAAACAGCTAACATGGACGCCCACAGTGTCACATGATGCAGATGGTAAATACACTGGTGAAACCTACACTCACGGGTGCTGACACACCAAGGTGTATACACAGTATACATGGGAGGGGAACCAACACCACATCTTGGAAGGGTCACAACAGTGAATTGCACCTTTCAGCACTGGCCCATCCATGTCCCATTATATCCTAAACAATCCTTATAGTTTTTCAAAACTACTTTTCATGATATCCAGAATCTATTATAAGTGAGCTTAAAGCTGATACACAGCATCAATATCATGTGTTGGTTTGTTGTTTAACGCCACACTCAGCAATATTCCAGCTATATGATGGCGGTCTGTAAATAATCAAGTCTGGACCAGACAATACAGTGATTGATATCTTCAGCACCAATCTACGTAATTGGGATACGATGACATGAATCAACCAAGTCAGTGAGCCTGATCACCTGCAGCTGATCCTGTTTGTCACCTCTTATGACAAACACAGGTTGCTGAAGACCTGTTTTGACCTGATACTTCATGGGTCATCAATATCATTCCAGTGAAGGACTGAGCTTGAAAGGGTAATAACATTACACAAAATGCAACAGCTTTTACACTAATATTATGCAGCAACTTCCTTTCCTTCAAGGGGGAACATTTTCTTCCAAGATATTCCCGTACCTAGATATCCACGTTACAAAGAAAAGCAACACAAACAGTATACAATTCAACGATGAGATGTACTTACAAAATTTTTATTTTGGTACCATGAAGATAGGAAGTATCAATTTTCTGTAGCTTGTTGTTTTGTAGATACCTGAGAGATTGAATAGATTATATGGGCTATGAAACACATGTATACTCATTTGGGCAATTATTGTTAGTTTACACAAGCCGTATTCTGAGAATTAAGAAATTTGACACAAATACATGTACACATACCATGTCATGATTGCTTATAATATTTTTAAGGAAATACGTAGAATTACTTATCCTTAAATTAAACAATTTTTTACGGGATTAATATATATAATAGTGCCATTGCACTGTAGCTCATCTGGATATGTAGTCAACATTTTAAAACGGTAACAAAGACAGACATTGAACAAAATTCAAATACTTTCTTCATAAATAGTGAGAAAAAAGTAACACTAATATAATGATTTAAATAAAATAGCTCACAGTCTGGCAATTTCAGGTTACCATGTCTACAGAGCCTAATATGCATTTTGAATGGTCCAGTGGTTTCTGGGAAGATGATGTGTACTGTGCAAGGAAACAGTTTGAGAGAATTGAAGAGCATGGTCAAAGTGCAAAGTTAAAAAAAGGCCAAATTTCCAAATATTCTGGAAAAAATGGAACATGTATTTGTTCAGCTCCACTACTATCTACAAAAACTATTTGAACAAAATTGATTTAGATGTTTAGGACACATGATGGACGACTGACCACAGACAGACAAACAGGCGATGACATGAGCTCACTTGACTTTCAGACAGGTGAGCTTTTTAGAAAGAAAAGAAGCAATTTTATTCATTTCTTCATATAAAATCAATATGTTCCATTTAAGTTGTATTGCTAGGGCCACTCACAGTTCTTCCAGATTCTTAAGAGCATGTATACTCCTGCCTATTTCTGAGCTACTTTCTAACTTGTTGTAGGAGAAATCACTGCAATGAAACAAAATGAATCATTAAATAATGCACTTTATCTTGAGAGTCAACTGCTACGTTTCTCAAGCTTCTCATCTTGTATGACTATTACGGTAAGTACTACAACTAGATGTATTAAACCTCCATGTCAGAATGATGAGATCTGATTGGTCCATGTGATCTTGATAAAATACTTTATCATACCTCCATGTCAGACTGATGAGATCTGATTGGTCCACGTGATCTTGATAAAGTACTGTGTAGCCCGCCTTGAAGGGTAATACATTTATCAGTGGGGGAATAAAACTTTTATACCCAGCCACAAGCAATGCAGGCTCCACATGCATTTCTGAGAGACAGAATAAATCCCTTATACCCTGCTTCAAAGCAAAAAGCCACTCGCTTTTTCAAAGTCAAAGGCAGTACCGTGACATAGCACAAGTTAACCTCAGTTCAATTCAACGGCTGTTTTATCAGTTTTAAATTTGTGTTACTTCTCTTACAAGGTCACATTAAATCATGTCGGTAAGATAAATTTGTTGTAATGTACTCCGCCTTGGAGGGGAAATAAATTTCTCAGTGTGAGAATTAATCCCTCGGGATGCATAAAACCACATGTACCTCTCGTGATACTGTTACAACTTATAGTATAGCCAGTCTATCTAAGGCTTTACTTGAAGAAAAGAAAGAGTTCCTCTGGCACATTTTGCTGTACAAGGAGGAGAAAGGCCATTTTTTTATTGAAAACAAAAGTTTGTTTGTTTGCTTGTTTGTTTGTTGCTTAATGCTATACTCAGCAATATTCCAGCTATATGACGTTGGTCTGTAAATTGGTCTGTAAATTAATCGAGTCTGGAAACGGCAATCCAGTGATTGACATCATGAGCATCGATCTACACAATTGAGATACAGTGACATGCATCAACCAAGTCAGGGAGCCTGACCACCGATCCCGTTAGTCGTCTCTTATGACAAGTATAGTCGCCTGTTCTGGCAAGCCTGAGAGGCAGAAGGCCTATTTTAACTCAGATCTTCAAGGGTTGAAAACAGAAGTAATGAGGGAGGAACACTATATAAATAATTACTCTTGAGGTCAATATGTGAAAACAAGAACCAGCTTCTACTGCTGTTTAAGACATGAGACAATTTTGGTGCACAATTATATATTGAAACAATTAGGTGAAGGTGTTAATATGTACTTCTAATGAATCATATTTCAATGTTGATGAAATTCAGCTTACATGATCTTAAGGTTAGAAAACCTTTCATTTGTCAGATCTAGCTCTGACAAGCTGTTGGCTGTGAAGTATCTGAAACACAAATTGAGATTTGACAGCATGCTGAACATACCTGTGTACAGTGCCCACTTCAGTATAATGCACCCACCCAATTCTTTGGTACAAGTTTCGGGAAAAATTGCTATTACTTATATTGCACGCTACCCATATTGCAAACTCTACATTGTATTGCTTCAGGTGAATGGACTGGAAATGACAAACTTGATCAATGAAAGTGAAAATTTTGCTGTCAAACATCATTAGGCATAATTAGTTCCTGTAGTTGTGTAGCCTGTCGACACAGTCCAACATGGGGCACCAACAAGCATGGGTTGGACAAATCAAGCACGACAGAGGGAGTACCTGGGCATGAAACTCACACAACTCGTTAATGATGTGGCAAAGTAAAACAACTTGGTATCATAAGGTACATGACCATGTAAATAATATACTTACAGGTGTGTGACACTGTTGATTACTCAGAGGTGAGTGACATTGTTCCTTACTTACAGGTGTGTGACATTGTTGATTACTTACAGGTGTGTGACATTGTTGCCTACTCACTGGTGCGTGACATTGTTCCTTACTTACAGGTGTGTGACATTGTTCATTACTCACAGGTGAGTGACATTGTTCCTTACTTACAGGTGTGACACTGTTGATTACTCACAGGTGAGTGACATTGTTCCTTACTTAGAGGTGTGTGACATTGTTTATTACTTACAGGTGTGTGACATTGTTGATTACTCACAGGTGAGTGACATTGTTCCTTACTTACAGGTGTGTCATTGTTTATTACTTACAGGTGTGTGACATTGTTCATTATTCACAGGTGAGTGACATTGTTCCTTACAGGTGTGTGACATTGTTGATTACTTACAGGTGTGTGACATTGTTCCTTACTCACAGGTGTGTCATTGTTTATTACTTACAGGTTTGTGACATTGTTCATTATTCACAGGTGAGTGACATTGTTCCTTACAGGTGTGTGACATTGTTGATTACTTACAGGTGAGTGACATTGTTCCTTACTTATAGGTGTGTCATTGTTTATTACTTACAGGTGTGTGACATTGTTCATTATTCACAGGTGAGTGACATTGTTCCTTACAGGTGTGTGACATTGTTGATTACTTACAGGTGAGTGACATTGTTCCTTACTTATAGGTGTGTCATTGTTTATTACTTACAGGTGTGTGACATTGTTCATTATTCACAGGTGAGTGACATTGTTCCTTACAGGTGTGTGACATTGTTGATTACTTACAGGTGAGTGACATTGTTCCTTACTTACAGGTGTGTCATTGTTTATTACTTACAGGTGTGTGACATTGTTCATTATTCACAGGTGAGTGACAGTGTTCCTTACAGGTGTGTGACATTGTTGATTACTTACAGGTGAGTGACATTGTTCCTTACTTATAGGTGTGACATTGTTGATTACTTACAGGTGTGTGGCATTGTTCATTACTCACAGATGAGTGACATTGTTCCTTACAGGTCTGTGACATTGTTGATTACTAACAGGTGTGTGACATTGTTGATTACTCACAGGTGAGTGACATTGTTCCTTACTTACAGGTGTGTGACATTGCTTATTACATACAGGTGTGACATTGTTCATTACTTACAGGTGTGTGACATTGTTGATTACTTACAGGTGTGTGACATTGTTCCTTGCTTACAGGTGTGTGACATTGCTGATTACTTACAGGTGTGTGACATTGTTCATTACTCACAGGTGTGTGACATTGTTGATAACTTACAGGTGTGTGACCTTCTTGATTACTTACAAGTGTGTGACATTCTTGATTACTTACAGGTCAGTGACATTGTTGATTGCTTACAGGTGTGTGACATTGTTCATTACTCACAGGTGAGTGACATTGTTCCTTACTTACAGGTGTGTGACATTGTTCATTTCTTACAGGTGAGTGACATTGTTGATTGCTTACAGGTGTGTGACATTGTTCATTACTTACAGGTGAGTGACATTGTTCTTTACTTATAGGTGTGTGACATTGTTGATTACTTACAGGTGTGTGACATTGTTGATTACTCAAAGGTGTGTGACATTGCTCCTAACTTACAGGTGTGTGACATTGCTGATTACTTACAGGTGTGTGACATTGTTGATAACTCACAGGTGTGTGACATTGTTGATAACTTACAGGTGTGTGACCTTCTTGATTACTTACAGGTGTGTGACATTCTTGATTACTTACAGGTGTGTGACATTCTTGATTACTTACAGGTGAGTGACATTGTTGATTGCTTACAGGTGTGTGACATTATTCATTACTCACAGGTGGGTGACATTGTTCCCTACTTACAGGTGTGTGACATTGTTCCTTACTTACAGGTGAGTGACATTGTTGATTGCTTACAGGTGAGTGACATTGTTCCTTACTTATAAACCTATTCATTGGGATTGCTATTAAGTAAGAGACTTCTTTCTATAGGCATTAAAACCTATTTTGAGGTTTTACTTTCCAGTCGGGTTAAATCTCATAAACAGGGACGTTGTAATGTCCCTGGGATTTTATATAATATCCTAGGGATTTTATATAATATCCCAGGGATTTTATATAATGTCCCGGGTATTTTATAAATGTAACTTCTGTTCAGATTGTAACATGTAATGAAATGTAAAATCAAATGACAAATGTTTTCTTTATATTCCCGAGGATCGAACTCGCAACCTTCATATCTGTAGCCCAGTGAGTGTACCACGAGGCTACAGAGGTGTTGATAAGCCTCACTGGTTTTTAGAATGTCCTTTTCAGGATCCGTACGCCAGCAACAGATATTTTACGCGAGTTTCCTAAGGTTCATGAAAAGGAAGTTCGAAACATAAAAATGTGGATAAATGTTGTTTTAAGTTTCTTTTTTCGGTTTATAAGTATGGAAAAACACTTTCCCTCGATTTTGGTAGACAGAGCATGCCCTGGGGAGAGGGAAAAACCAAGGGGGCGAAACCATGTAAGCGTGTTTTCTCCAATACTTACAGGTGTGTGACATTGTTGATTACTTACAGGTGTGTGACATTGTTGATTACTCACAGGTGAGTGACATTGTTCCTAACTTATAGGTGTGTGACATTGTTGATTACTTACAGGTGTGTGACATTGTTGATTACTCACAGGTGAGTGACATTGTTCCTTACTTACAGGTGTGTGACATTGCTGATTACTTACAGGTGTGTGACATTGTTGATTACTCACAGGTGAGTGACATTGTTCCTTACTTACAGGTGGGTGACATTGCTGATTACATACAGGTTTGTGACATTGTTCATTACTTACAGGTGTGTGATATTGTTGATTACTTACAGGTGTGTGACATTGTTCCTTGCTTACAGGTGTGTGACATTCTTGATTGATTACAAGTGAGTGACATTGCTGATTACTTACAGGTGTGTGACATTGTTGATTACTCACAGGTGAGTGACATTGTTCCTTACTTACAGGTGGGCGACATTGCTGATTACATACAGGTGTGTGACATTGTTATTACTTACAGGTGTGTGATATTGTTGATTACTTACAGGTGTGTGACATTGTTCCTTGCTTACAGGTGTGTGACATTCTTGATTGCTTACAAGTAAGTGACATTGTTCCTTACTTACAGGTGTGTGACATTCTTGATTACTCACAGGTGAGTGACATTGTTGATTGCTTTTTGGTGTGTGACATTGTTGATTACTTACAGGTGTGTGACATTTTAATTACTTACAGGTGTGTGACATTGTTGATTACTTACAGGTGAGTGACATTGTTGATTGCTTACAGGTGTGTGACATTTTTATTACTTACAGGTGTGTGACATTGTTGATTACTTACAGGTGAGTGACATTGTTGATTACGTACAGGTGAGTGATATTGTGGATTACTTACAGGTGTGTGACATTGTTCCTTGCTTAGAGGTGTGTGACATTCTTGATTGCTTACAGGTGAGTGACATTGTTCCTTACTTACAGGTGTGTGACATTGTTGATTACTCACAGGTGAGTGACATTGTTGATTTCTTTTGGGTGTGTGACATTGTTGATTACTTACAGGTGTGTGACATTGTTTATTACTTACAGGTGTGTGACATTGTTGATAACTTACAGGTGTGTGACATTTTTATTAATTACAGGTGGGTGACATTTTTATTACTTACAGGTGTGTGACATTGTTGATTCCTTACAGGTACATTACATTGCTGATTACTTACAGGTGAGTGACATTGTTGATTACTCACAGGTGAGGGACACTGTTGATTACTCACAGGTGTGTGACATTGTTATAACTCACAGGTGAGGGACACTGTTGATTACTCACAGGTGTGTGACATTGTTGATTACTCACAGGTGAGTGACACTGTTGATTACTAACAGGTGAGTGACACTGTTGATTACTCACAGATGTGTGACATTGTTGATTGCTTACAGGTACATGACATTGTTGATTATTTACATGTACATGACATTGTTGATACTTACAGGTATGTGACATTGTTGATTGCTTACAAGTGTGTGACATTGTTGATTGCTTACAGGTGTGTGACATTGTTGATTGCTTTTGGGTGTGTGACATTGTTGATTGCTGACAGGTACAAGACATTGTTGATTATTAACAGGTACATGACATTGTTGATTACTTACAGGTGTGTGACATTGTTGATTGCTTTTAGGTGTATAACATTGCTGATACACCAGAGAGACTGTCTGTTAGATATACCTACATGTATGTAAAAGTGTTAAGGTAGGGGAAGGTGCCCATTTCAAATACTTACAGGTATTGTACACCGCTGGGGAAGTATCTGGCTTGTGGGAATGTTTCTAGCTTCTTGTTCTCACAATGCACTGCTGTCGTTGAACAGGTACATCCATATTCAGTCTTGAGAGCGGGACACTCCCCCATGACTCCCCCGACCCCGCACAGAAGGCCACCCCCTCCCCCCAGCACCAACAGAAGCCACAGCAGTCTGCTAAAGCCATGGCAGCCGTAGATGAGCGAGGCGGAGCGTGTCACCATACTGGACTGGTGGCCTGTGCCCAGCCCTGGTCCAGGTGAGACGGGTACACAGGCGGAGACAGGCGTTCCCTCATACTCGCTCTCCGGGGGCTGGTGTGTCAAACTCCCACTCTAGCACCTGGGGAGGAAACATTGGTTCCGCACTGTCAAATAATTATTAGGTACATTTCTATAGTAGAAAATTTATAACAGCACATACTCATTCCATACCCTGGTCATCAGATCAGTGTGCATCTAATTTGCATTCTCAGCTCCATGGGGAGTATACAACCCAAACTCTCTGTCTAGTAATTCTAAGTATGACATGGGTGGAGCATGGGTAGAACATGGGAGGTGGTTGACACAGGGGTAGGGGGTGACAGTGTGGAGCATGGCAGGCAGAGGACACTTGGGTAGAGGGTGACAGGGTGGAGCATGGGAGGTGGAGGACACAGGGGAAGGGGGTGACAGGGTGGAGCATGGGAGGTGGTGGACACAGGGGTAGGGGATGTCAGCAGAGTGGAGCATGGGAGGTGGTGGACACAGGGGAAGGGGGTGACAGGGTGGAGCATGGGAGGTGGCGGACACAGGGGTAGGGGTTGACAGGGTGGAGCATGGGAGGTGGTGGACACAGGGGTAGGGGGTGTCAGCAGAGTGGAGCATGGGAGGTGGTGGACACAGGTGGAGGACACAGGGGTAGGGGTTGACAGGGTGGAGCATGGGAGGTGGAGGACACAGGGGTAGGGGGTGTCAGCAGAGTGGAACATTGGAGGTGGTGGACACAGGGGTAGGGGGTGTCAGCAGAGTGGAACATGGGAGGTGGTGGACACTTGGGGTAGGGGGTGTCAGCGAGGGGAACATGGGAGGTGGAGGACACAGGGGTAGGGGTTGACAGGGTGGAGCATGGGAGGTGGAGGACACAGGGGTAGGGGGTGTCAGCAGAGTGGAACATTGGAGGTGGTGGACACAGGGGTAGGGGGTGACAGGGTGGAGCATGGGAGGTGGTGGACACAGGGGTAGGGTGTGACAGGACGGAGCATGGGAGGTGGTGGACACTGGGGTAGGGGGTGACAGGGTGGAGCATGGGAGGTGGAGGACACTGGGGTAGGGGGTGACAGGGTGGAGCATGGGAGGTGGTGGACACGGGTATAGGGTTTGGAGATGGGAGTACAATACAGGTGAATATGTGGTGAGTAAATGTTGTTTTATATATTATAAACCTATTCATTGGGATCGCTATTAAGTAAGAGACTTCTTTCTTTAGGCATTAAAACCTATTGTGAGGTTTTACTTTCCAGTCGGGTTAAATCTCATAAACAGGGACGTTTTAACGCCAGCAACAGATATTTTACGCGAGTTTCCTAAGGTTCATGAAAAGTATGTTCGAAACATAAAAATGATGATAAATGTTGTTTAAAGTTTCTTTTTACTGTTTATAAGCATGGAAAACACTTTCCCTCGGTTTTGGTAGACAGAGCATGCCCTGGGGAGAGGGAAAAACCAAGGGGGCAAAACCTTGTGAGCGTGTTTTCTCCAATACATATTGAATATTGAATTCAGCAATTAACACAGCAGGGTACCCCCAAAATTTGCTTCACCCATTGTATCCATGCGAGACACAGACACACAAACACACAGACACAGACACTTTTAACATCAGAAATATACTCCAATGACAAGTATCATAACTAAAATGTGACTAAGTACCTCTGTATAATTGAAACTGAAAATAATCCTCACTTTCATAAGTATTACCAGGCAGCTCTGTCTCATTGTCTGTTCAAACCCCCCCCCCCCACACACACACACTGTTTCTTTCGGTTCGAATCTTAGGTACAACACCGAATCGCTTTGATTCTAATCTTATTTCTTCAAAATTTAATCACAAACAATATATGAATTTGCCAATTCAATATTGTTCAGTTAAGAGATGACAAATATGAGATTACAAGATATCTTTGAACATACATAAAAAAACCTCTATCATTTTTACACATAATTGCACTTAATGACACCATTTACTACTTGAACAAAAAGCTATATAAATGGTACTGTATAGTTATTCTGCATCAGATACCGACAATAATGACATAATATGTCTGTTTGTGTATACAGCGTTGGTATTTAATGGCAAATCAATAAACGCAAAGCTTTATAGATAACACCCTCAAGTACTGGACAACATATGCATTGAGCTGGTTCACATTTCCCTGCATATCAGTGATCTCCCTTAGTTCGTTCAATAATTCCTAAGACCCTTAAACAAAACACTCAATTTCAAAACATAACAGTTAATTGTTTTTAATAAAAACACCTATTTAAAATCTATTCAAATGAGATCAATTGATCATATATGATATGTTTGTGTACTTATGAAATATATTTCATGCATAAGCTATACATTAATTATTCAATGGTGTATAATAAAGACGATGATCGGATGGCAAACTGGTAAATATTATAGCATTATAGGTCAGTAGTGCCGTGCTGGCTTGACCACTGTGTTAACTGACCAGCTCAACATGAAAGTCCTGTCATGCTCCTACCTGACAGGTGTCGCCCGTAATCTACCTGAGCTAAACCGATTAAGAGATAAAGAAAACACTAACTGCTTGTAAATAAGACAATCAAGATACTTACATAAATACCATTATGACCCATACTGATTGTCTAGACGGGAGCATTTCCATAAACCTGCCCGAATAGTTTGACAGATTTCCAATCACTTTACCTGACATACTGTTCGATGCCAAGCTATTCACCCACGTGACAAGCCGCCATTGTTGGCCGTGTCGTTCAATGAAAACAACCTTGCCCTTTTCGTTGCCTAGTTACCGATGACGCTAGAGTCTCAAGTCAATAAAGGCTTTCTGCATGCACTGAACAGACACGGTGCATATTAATGCGAAGTACAGAGTGGACTTTTATCCGTAACCAGTTGATCAGCACAGTCAACAGTGAAAGACATTTCAATTGATATATTGTATCTAGTTCATATTGTCAGATGGCATGTAGGTTAAGCCACCTCATAACGCTTGGGTGGCGAATGCATTGTGACAAGTTGGGGCGTGACATGTTCTTGGACGTACATGGAAGGGAATTGTGTATTTTGTCTGCCTGGAATAAACAGGTGTACTTTCTGACGCATCATTAAACCATTCATTAGTCATGATCCATGAAACTAAACTTAGACGTGACTTAGAATATACTATTTATAGAACATTTAATCTGAGTGAGTGAGTGAGCGAACAAACAATAGGCGCTGTCACAGATAATCACGGATTCTAACCAAGTTTTATCATCTTTGACATAGAATACATGAACTGATTGTGTGACTTCCTCCCGTCAGCATGGAAGGAATACACACAGAATACAGAAATGATTGAATACGGTGATATCCTAATTACATGATATTAAACATTCAGCAGCAATTTCCTTTAATAATAAACTGTTACCTTTGGTATCCCCAAGCACAATATTCTGCATACTCATGTGGGCAGTTGTGAAAATCACAAACCCAAATCCGGTGATTGTTAATATCACAAATCCTATTGACACTCTGTTTTCATTTCCAGAATCCTCTTAAATAATGAGTGCCCTGATAATTTTTGAAAAAGTCCCTGACCCCAGAATAAACATATATTTTGCTTATGAAGCCAACATAGTGACTGAAATGCCTGCGGTATAATTATCGAAAAGCTGAACCATTACGATATTCCTGCGGGATTCTTCACGCCGGTCAGACCACATATTCAAATGCCTCATATGTAAATATGAAAAAACCGACTGTCCTGTGGTGTCCTTTTATTCAGAAGAACTATTTTAGTGTAAATATGTTTTAGCTTACGATGTACATTGTATCAGCTCAATTGTTATATACCATTTCTCTTATCACGTTTTGTCGGAATAATAGCTCCTAGATCTAATGTTATATTGAGACCTGTAATAAGCGACGTGAGATAGTATTTCTTGCAACTTGTATATACTATTAGTCAAGTTATAAGCAAAGGAGACCTACTTTTTTCCAAATGCCATTTAGCTAATCAGACACTTGGGTTGTGAGTCTGCATGTACACAAATGGATTACTATTGATCTACACCCCTTCGTGAAAACTTAACATTAAAATCAACCATTGTGACATAAATGTATAGGCCTCTGTGCATGACGCTTTGCTACGAAGGTTATCATGACATAACTTAGAATTTCCGTCCTTTCTCAGATAAGCCATCAGTTTTGTGTGTGAAATTCCTGAATATACAATTTTAATTTAACTGTGTATTTGGGGATTGCGAGAATGAGCTACGGTTTCCTCTTGGTGCACTTTCAACATTAATTCGGCTGGCAGTGAATCACTGCAATTCTGACACTCGTTTCATAAAATCAGTATGACACCCTATGTGTCGCTCTGTTTATCTGGTCAATAACGTTCGCCAAATAGCGTTATTGTAAACCTCGTTACCTAGAAACGTGGCATTTATATGACAATCAAAACAAACTGACATTCGTTTTACTCTATGTGCGCGTGGGATCCAGCGTTAAAGCGAGGCTATGTAGGCTCGAGTGAACTGCATTCGTCACCCCTCGCCCCTTTCCGTAACCAGCTCTTCGGCTTGCCCCGGAATAACACGCGTTGGTCACGAATGGGGTGAATTGGTAATTGTACAGAATTTGAATCTGGTTGTTGAAAGAATACTTACTTATTCGTCAGCTGTGTCCCCAAAATAATCTGGCAATGACTGCCTTAATTACGAAGAGACGTGGTCTTTGTTTCACACAATTTCATATTGATTTCCCCCAATATTCACTCGGGGGAAGATCATTTTGGTCTTTTGATTGTGCATTAACCAGCATGTCCAACACCTGATAATGATACACTAGCATGTATACATCTCGTATTTGAAACAATGTTATATAACTTAAGTACAAAGTTCTCTGTAAAGATCACGTACATTATATTCTGTACTATATATTATAGTACATTATATTCCCCTAAGGCGCCTCGATTCGTTGTGCAGAGTTGCTTCCCTTGGGCACGCCAGAAACCTATGATTGTGGGTTCGAATCCCGGTTCGCACCGATTATGTTTCTAGGTTTGTCAGCACCATAACCGTGTTCGTGGGTTTCACCGAAGTTGTGAA